TTGGTTTCAGCAAGCCTGCGGTTCGTTTGCTAAGTGAAGTAAAAACATGGATTATGCTATTGTGCCAATACTTCTACGTTGGCGCATTAGTGGACTATGCAGAAGTTGGCATTATAAAAAAATAGTAGTATATTTAAATCACTATTTATTGGAAGCTATTTTCTCACTAATTTGACAGAATTCCTATTCCTATGCGGCTCTATACTACTCCTAGGAGTTAAAGGAATTTATATTATTATGTTGAACCTATTTGAACCAGTGCACTTGAGCACTTTTACTCTTTATAAACTCGAGGTATCTTCAAAACCCCTCTTTACGTCTTGACTGGATTATTGTTTATCATTTCATTAGACTAGGCAATAATTGACATCAGATCTGCATATAACAGTCTACTTAACGGATCTAGATCTGGAAACCCAATTGGTTTAACAAGAATAACACATGAAACCATATGAGTTATTATATTCGTTAGTACATCACGCAACTTTAGGATTATCACAATAGGCAACAGTTGTCTTCCAGTTAGGTGTTGATGTTAGCATCAACACTCTAATTTTAAACCTAACTTAATCCATACTTAAAAATTATAAAAAAAAGTAGCTTTATTATGCTTGTAATGTAGTATCTTTTTAAATGCTGTAAATATTTTAATACTTTTTTACAATATCGGTTATTAATATATCATATATTACCACAAGCATTTAAAGTAGTGAAATGACTTCATTTAAGAAATCACTTCCATATAATCTATTCAATACACGAACAATGAATAGCAAACAATGAATTCTTTATTTTAGCCAATCAAAAATATCTATAACTACACCCTAATTTAGATTTAATTTTAATCTTAGTCATGTTTAAAATAAGTTAACTTTAAATGCGTAGATTAGAATCTTATGTTTGGACACTGGTGCCATATTATGACCATTTTTTCAAAGCCAATTTGAAGGTGGCGGTCAAACTAAACGTTCAATAAGCATTTTTGAGTAAGTCTATCTAATATACGATAACATATTTATGAACATACACAGATATATCATTGATTAAACTGGGCGGAACATACAATCACTCTGTCACTAAAATATGATACTTTTCGCTGCTGGCAAGACGAGGCTTAGGCCTAACTAATTGCCAGCCAGAGTCATGGCTACCGCAACTAATTTAAATGGCTGAAGCAAACATTTCAAATGTGATCATAGCTTTTATGTAATTTAATTAAAATAATTTTAAATTAATTAATTTTTTTTTAATATTTTTTGCACATTTAATTTAGTAGCGAATGTGCGATTGATTTAGTTTGCACTTAAAATACGCATTTGCGATTTTGCATGGTCCTAGTTTTTGTTGCATTTTAACTACTTTGACCGCGTCAAAGACCTTGTATATTGGCATTATTTTATTTTAAAATTAACACATGCGGATCACATCTTCAAATTAGAAAGACTAGAATTGTATTCCTTACTATAAAAATAATTTATTGTTTTTTTTAATCTAAGCTTGTTTAAACTTTTTTTTTTTTTGCTTTTTTTGCTTTTATAAAAAGTTGCATCTAAAAGTTGCGATGTAATGATATTTCTTAATAAATTTTATATGACTAAGATTTGTTTATGTTTTTTATGGGCTTTAATAAATAAATTTAAATATTTTTTTTTTATAACAAGTTACTAACAAAGTAAGTCTTAAGTTTATCAAATTGTTGATAAATATTCTTTGTTGAGTTAATGTGAGAAAATGAAGATTTGACGAGTTTATGCGAATTCTACTCCTCTACAACACTAAAGACTTACTTCATAAGTTTTTAATATATTATTAAACCATTGAAATTATAAGCAAATGATGAGTTAAAGAAGGTATGGTTATAAATAAGACATTATGCTAAAAATACATTCGTAATTTTTAATTTATTTTTTTTAATTTTTTTTTCTGAAATGGCATTTAAACTGTTTACCGCCTAACGCATTTACATAAAACGTTCTTTTAAAAGAAGTCAAATGCCAAGGCTATTTTACGTATACGTTCAAGTGCACAAATTTGTAAGCTCACAGTTTCGGAAATGTAAGAGGCTATGCAATCAGAATTATTTCTAAAATATTGTAATTATATAAACTTGACGATGATATCGTAATTTGAAACGCTCAAAAGCTTAAAATCAAAAAATAAATATACTAACAACAAAATATAACAATTCACAAAGATTCTTGCAATCAACCCAAAACATTAATATATATAAATTTTCATACTCAATCATTGTACCTATTAATTTAATTATTAATATTAAATTTTATTAAAATTATTTGAAAAGCATTGATTAATAAATTTTATTTTATTGCTAATAAAAATTATTGTCAATATTAATGGAATTAAGAGGAACTAATCATATTAATTTTATACCGCTCTATTGACAATATTGTTTATCGCGGTGTAACCAGTTTCAGAAAGACGTTTTATTCTGCAATTCGGAGTAGTAAACATTGACAAACATTTTCGTTAATATATTGTATATATTATAATATATCAAATGCCTTGTTACATCAGCCCTTTCTTTTTATACAGTTAGCATAACTTTGATGCAACTGCTAATCCAACTGGTAAAACCTATGCTTGAAAAAACACCTTTTCAATGGTGCAGTAAATTACTCCTAAGTCTTTTTGTGATTTCATTATTATAGAAGAAGAAGAAGAATAGATAGAATGCCTTCTTTATGACCAAAATAATCGGTTTATTAAAGTTAAAATCTAATATATATATTTATGTCTCTAATGCACTCGATTGATTATCTAGCCTTAATAATATATCTCCTAGTTGTCAATGAGCTCAAAAATTTACATATTAAATTCACAACTCCTAAATTCCAAATACGGGGTAAGCTATATTTACTCTGTAGCATATACGGTACACGATATTTTATTACCATCAGAAGTGTTTGCACATTAGGTGGCCTTCGCACCATATCTATTTATTATGGACTTAGATTAATACAGAGCTTGTGTTTTAAATAATTACAATATTAAATATATATTATCTTTAATTGAAAGGTCAACATCATTCATGGGTCAAAGGCCAAAAACATAATAATACTTCTAAGACAAAATTTTAATTAGAAAAGTAGTATATTATGAAGATTTATAAAAGTTTATGTATATATATGTATATATATTTGAGGATGTCTAAAATGGTTGTATGGTTACCTCAAGAATTTATTTGAGATCAATATTTTGTAGTTATTAATATTTCCTCATTAAATGGAAAACCATTTCAAATAAATTTTTTCTCGTAAAACAAACAGTTCTTAATCATAAATATTTTTATATAGTTGTTGCATGTATCATAAAACCTTATACTGCCAATTTTTTAATTGTCATTCTCCGTTAGAAAAGTCTCTTATATAATAAATCCCATATAATATTAGTTTGGTTTTATAACCATTCAAATAAAGCCACTTAATTTATATTTAAACTGACTTGTCTATATCCATAGCTGTCAACTTAACGCAATACTTAACTAATCTTTGCTATCCTACAGTGATAAATAAGTGCTTCTAAATCAAAACCTAACTAAACCTAATAACTAAAAGTATAGTTTAAGTGAAGGTAAATATTCCTTTGCAAGATCGGTTAGACTTCTTATCTAGCCAAACTTATATTTTATGTTGATGAGCGTATGTGATGTCAAAATTAAACATATTGAATATCGTCTGGTGCAAGATATCTTATCCACCAGACCGCGAACCGCTCCGATAATTAAAACGATGATTTTGTGCTCTAATACCTAACCTCTTTTTAGTTTTAAGGCTATAAGTAAATCAAATATATAAAGAGGTTTCTCGAACAGTAGTGAAACTACAACAACAAAAATTTCATTTTATATTATTTTAAATAATTGAATTTTTGGCTGACCATACAGCTGTTTCGAGTATTGCCAAATACCCATCATCAGTGGTCTTGGAAATAATTCTTGTATTTAATTATTCGTAAATAATTATTTTTGAGACTGCAAGTAACAGAAATTGAACTCGTGTCCTGTAAAATTTGAAGCTCAGAGTCAGCGCTCCTTAATCAACAGACCCAAAGCGGTGCTTGACTTTTATGTTCCCACATTTTTCTGGAGTTTTGTTAATTTGCTGTGAAAGTTTTATTAACAAATTCATTTGCTGTGTTTATATGTTATTAGAATAATTACCTAGTATCTTTTAGAGGTGCATTTAATCAAATATTTTTGATAAAATATATTCTTGAACTAAACTTTAATCACTTGAAATTCTTCGTTCATACCTAATTATATTCTTTAAATATATTTTCTCACAAACAATCCGAAATATTTGTACTCGTAATAAAGTTGTGGGAAATGTTTAAATTTTTTAGATAACCAATGTGCCACTCAATGATAGATGCAATAATGTTTTTAAGTATACAAAAATATGAACTCATTTATTTGAAATATTTTGCAAAATATTTAAAATGCGTTAAGTGCGCTGTCGAAAAATTTATGTCAGATACTTGCAGAATTGCGGTCCAATAGCGACGGCAACTTCAACTTCAGCTTCAAACAGCCTACAATTGATGAACTTTAAATGAATTCAAGCATGAAATTTACGTAAATCAAATATTACTAATTTTTTTATTCGCATTTGACTAATTCCAACGCATTTTAACCCAAAAACTATTTTTTTGTGAAAAAATGAAACAATCAATCTTAAACGAAGCGAGTCTAGACCTGCGCAAGCGCACCTAAAGTAGACAAATTTTGCAATTCAAATTGAATTCAAATTTATCGAAATTATGTTAGCAATTTTTTTGCTTCTTAAGTTGAAATTTGAGTGAAGTGTGCTTGTGAAATTCGCTTGATCACCATGGAAAGTGTTTGGTGTACTGTAAGTCAAAGGTGTAGGTGAACGGTAAACAACAGCGATTAAAAATTGATTTCCAAAACTGAAGCCAAGATTAATGATTTGAGACTTTATGTAAATTATTTCATTATTTTTTATTTTTTTCATTTACAGGCTTTTGGACACATTAGTGGCTGTCATATCAATCCCGCTGTTACCATTGGATTTTTGGTCGTGGGAGAGATGAGCATTCTTAAAAGCGCTTTTTATATCATCGTCCAATGTATCGGTGCTATTGCAGGTGCTGCAGTTATCAAAGTAAGTCCCTTTCAAAATAATTTACATGCATGTTAGAATTACGTTTTATTAAAGATAGAATTATAGATAATAGTCAATGGAAAAAAAAATCACACAAAAAAGATAGAATTTAAATAAAATAGATATGAATATAATTTTTTCTGCTTTAACAAAGATAATACCACAAAAAATAGCACTAATATTTAAATCTTATTAATGTTAATAATAATGCTTTATTTTAATTACTTAAAGACTTAATTTTTTAATTTAGTATATATAAATAAAATAAATTAAATAAATTATATGTAATATATATTATATAGAATTATTTATATATGTCCGCACGAGTGACATGCTAAGAGACCTCAGAATAGATCCGGTCAAAAAATACACAAGGGACAGAGTCCTGAAGCTATATGCTGCCCTACATAGTACTATCTAATCTCAGAGTAATCACTAACCGCACGGACCGGTACGCAGATGTTAGAACAGTCATTGATTAATCACGAAGCTTATGAGGAAAACACAAATTAATCAGTGAGATGGGTGGGACTCTGCAGAAACCCCCAGTTAGCTATCAAGGAGTAAAAGTGCCCTAACTCGGAAAAGCTCAACTAAAAAGAAGAAATATTTTACATTTATTTTATTTATTTAATATATATTTTTTTAATATACCAACAAATAAATTCTTTATACTTGTTGAACTGATTTTTAGCGATTTTTTGATGAAAGAAACTAAATTCTTAGTATAAACTATTTTCAATAAAGGTTTTTGTCGAACAGTAGTGAATTATGACAACAAACATTTTTATTATATTTAATTAATTAAATTTTTGGCTGACCACACAGCTGTTTCGAGTATTGCCAAATACCCATCATCATTGGTCTTGAAAGTGTTTCTTACATTTAATTATTCGTTAATAATGTTTTAAGACTGCAAGTACCAAGGGTTGAACTTATACCCTCCCAAATTTGAAGCACAGAGTCGGTGTTCATTAGCCAAGTGACACAATTTTTTTAACTTACAGAAATTATATCTCCATCCGATGATTACTTTAAAATTATATTATTATTTTCTTTAATTTCTTTATTGTTTTCTTTGAAATAAAATAACAAATGAGTTTTCATAATTTTCATTCCGTTAAGATGTAATTATTATAAAAATTTTTCAAAAGTGAAGCCATTAAAGGTAATTAGCTTTGACTCATGATTCAATGTTTTTCAAACAGATTATTTTGGTTTATCTTAAAAATGTTTATTTTTCCTGCTATACATTTTTTTCACCTGTATTTTTTAGTTTATATAACATACCATAAATAGTGCTATATGTCAGATAAACAAATTTTCGATAGTTAATTTGTATGGGTACTACCTATTTCATCCATTAAAAGATTTCATAATTCACAATACCCTTGTTAAAAGTTTTATTCCCTTAAAAAATCAATAGGGTGGTAGACTCTTTTTATTAATAGATGTTTGAACTTTAATGAACTTTAAAGATCTTTATGAGTTATTTTATTTAAATCAATCAAGGTGATAAAGTGGTTAGGAAGCTGAAACAGATTATCACCAATATGCCACGCATAAACCGATTTGTATATATATTATTATAGCGATTTGTAGTTATGGTTGAAAGAATTGGAGTGCTTTTGAGGACATGGTGTTGTATATGCAGACGAGTTCAATAGTTACATTCTTGATCCGCTCTCTTGTTTTGTATGATCTCTAAATTGGCAAAACCAAAAATATTCATAACACAGTGTTATTAGTTCCAACAATATAACATTTTCTCCTTAATATTGTCTTAAGTTAAGTACATTTTGTGGAGATGTCACTTTGAGGGTAACCAGTGTCCTCTAGGTGTGGGATCATTATTCTGTAGCCAACATATTTCATATTAAAAAATAATCAAACAATATTTTTGGTTTTCAATTGCATTTTTGATCTTATTTCTTCTACTTTCTATGTGCTCCGTTCGTCTATAGTTTACGAAAAACTCAATAATCTTTATAAAAGCACCCTCCTTAAATGTTGATAACGGAAAACAATTAATATTCTTAGTATTAGACCAGCTTCTTTACCACCTTCTTCTTATTAACCTTCATAATATTAGACTAGCTTCTTCACCAGTTTGAATAACCTTAATTATTACTGGAACTTTCTACAGATTATCAAAACCTTACGTTCGAAGTAGCTTTATCTATTTTATTGAAAATTAATTATGAATCGGAAATCGAAATTAATATAAACTACTATATTAAAACTAGAAACTAACAATTATTCAATAAAAGGTAAAAAAGGAAAATTTTATTTTATTTATTTATTTTATTTGCTTTTATTTATGTATCTTAAAATGACAGAACAAATATCATTCATAACAAATATTACTAATATATGTTAATTATTTATTATTAATATATACAATCTAAATCATAATTAAAGTGAATTTCAAAAACATTTTTTATTATGTAAAGCAATATAATATAAAAATTAAATTAAAAAGTATTTAAGTTCGAATATTAAGTTTTAAAATTCAAATTTAGAAATAATACTGCACTATATACTATATACATTGTTTAAAAAGTACTTATACCTTGACTAAAATTTAAAATCAATATTTAAAATAAAACAAAATTAAAAATTAAAATATAAAATTAAAAATTAAAAATATTATATGATTTCTCAAGGCTGCTGTTACAGAACCACTTGCAGGCCTTGGACTTGGCGTGTCATCGTACTCCGATAATTTATCTGCTGGACAAGTTGTGTTAATCGAAGCATTGATAACATTTATTTTGGTATTTGTTGTAAAAGGTGTATCTGATCCCGGACGTCAAGATATTAAAGGTTCAGCACCTTTAGCTGTTGGTTTAGCAGTTGTAGCAGGACATTTGTGCGCTGTAAGTGTTATAGACTTGAACTAAGTCTATCTTATCGCATATTAATTTAATTTCTTTATATTAGATTAAACTTACTGGTGCTAGCATGAATCCAGCACGTTCATTTGGTCCTGCTGTTGTACAAGATATGTGGCATTCACACTGGGTCTATTGGGTTGGACCAATCGCTGGTGGCATTGTTGCTGCCATTATATATCGTTTAATATTCAAAGTTCGTAAAGGCGATGATGAGGATAATTCCTACGATTTTTAAATTAATTTCGAAATTAAATTACTTATTAATTAATATGCTTAAGCTGAAACTCAAATTGGAAACGAGTTGTATTGCAAATTAATTACAATTAATTTACATACATAAAAATAGGTCAATTCTTGAATTTAATTGAATTTAAAAATAATTGCCTTATAAATATTGACAAGCTTTGAGCAAAAATTTAAGGGATATTTGTAGATTTACTAATATCCTTAACTGTTCATCACGAAATATTAAAAAATTAACACACCAAAAATATTTGTTTAACTTTAAAATTGAAAATTTTAAATTCATCTGAATTTTCTTACAAAATTTCATTTTTTATACGAATTACATTTTTATTTGTTGAAAAATAAAAATTATTGCTATTATGTTTAAATATAAAAATATTATTGTTAGCTTTTAATATTAAGTGCAATTTATTGAAAAAAATCAAAAAAAAAGTGATTGCTTCAAAAATTTATTGTTATACTTATTAAAATAGCTTTAACTTTTTTATTTAATAATTAAAAAAACATTATCTCGAAATCAATTGCTTTTTGAAATTGATATTAAATTTATATATATAAATGTATGTAATACTTGTTAAGTACAAGAATATCATATCACAAATTTTATTTAATATAATTATGTTGAGATATATTTGTATATGTGTAGTTATTATATGTCATAATTATAAATAAAAAAATCAAAATAAAAACTTTTTGTTTTAGTTATAAAATATGATTATTTTCTATTTCAGTACCTCTCACATAGGAATACTAGATTCGGTTAGGTTAGGTTGGTTTGGCGGCATTGTACACTAAAGTCCACTTCAGCATATGTAATATACAAGAGGCTTGAATAATGTACATTGTTATACTACGGATAAAACAAGAATAAACTCTGAATATTTTATATAAGGTGAGTAATTTGTGAACCAAAAATAAAATGAAAAGGATGAATATGCAATACAGTGGTTGGTTATCTTGTAAAATTATCCAGTCAGTGAAAAATTTCAAAAGGTTCGATGATTTAGACCTACGACGTAGAATTGTATACTCTAAATAATTTGCTTTAAGTAATTATAAGTATGTATTATTATTAATTTAGTGAACAATTATCTAATTACCTATAGAAATCAATTGCAATCAAATAAAATATGAATATTTTTTCTAAAATATTAAAATATACAATATAACCAAAAATAAATATATGTGGATATAATACATACTCTAACCTCGTTTTTAAAAGTTTTAGATCTACACGTTTTTCAACGTATTTTTAATAGTCTTAGGAATTCTTATTAACTTAAAACAATTTAAGTACATATATAATTTCTTCATCTAAGTATGAATGCAACCAAATAATTAAAAAAAAAAAATAAACCATCTAGTGTTGTTAAGTGAAGACCCTCATTATTCCATTTATATATTAATTGAAAATAACCATTATTGGTTATTCGTTAAAAAAAAACAAAAGATGATAAATTACTTATATATAATTCTGATTATTGCTGCAAACGATCAATAATGGAATCTAATGGAAAATAAATATACTTCATTATTGGACAGACACTATGCATATATTTATTATATATCTATATTTATACATATAACCATAATAACAGGAAAAAGAAATAATATAATTTTCTGAACCTATTTGATGACTTTGTAAGCAACCTAAGATTCTTCCAATCCCATTTAAGTGTGTGTTTAAAACAGATTTCACTATATCACAATATTCATTCACCGCGAAGTTATGACTTCATCTCGAAAATTGAAAAATTATTAAAATAATATGACATATATTTGATTTATTTTATTCAGAGTGCAATGTAAAAGTTTCAATTTTCAGCTACTAAGGAAAAAACATCAACAGCAATTTTTTACTAGATTAACAAATAAGTCCGAAACTTAAACATAGGAGAGGAGAGCAAAAATCATATGTGCGGCTGAAGTACTGGGACGACTTCCCAGGTCATAGATAAAGCAAAGCACTGATAAAACCGTACTCCTACAAAAAAATTCTTAAATTTTCAAAATATAATTTAAGGTTGATAAGAGGTTTCATTACAGGTCATTATGGCCTGAAAATACCCCTTTATAAAATACGATTATTTGCTAATTCGAAATGCAGTTTATGCCTCAAGGATAAGGAAACTACTATGCATATTCTTTGTGACTGCCCAGCTTTAACAACGCACAGAAGGAACTTGTTTCATATGAAATTTCTGTCACCAGAATAGATTAAGAGCTCTTCTGTAGATTTATTTTGGACTTTGTTCACGAAGCTTTAAAAGCTTTTGTGTAATCAATAGTAAAATTGGTACAATATGACTCTTCTAGCTTTAGTACTGGCTGTTGGGCGATTTCGCAGCAAAACTTTAATAATAAATAATAATAAGTCCGAAAATTATGAAAATTGTTATTGATACTTTAGTTATAATCAGAGGGTCTTTAGTGTAATTTTATAAATTCGAAATTAGAAAAAGAATTCTAATTTCATAAATTTTATGGAAACACTGCGAATTAACTATTAACAACATAAATCCCTTAAATCCAAAATGTTATATAGACATTTTTTATTTTTAAAAGGAAAAGTCTCTATTAATATTCCTATCCGCTAAAAAAGAATCACCACAAGTTTTCTAGAACGTGTGACTTACAAGTTAATAAATATATTTATTATTTTATTCGAGTCAAGTAAAAGTTTTTTTTAGTTACACGGTTTTTTGATCTATATAATTTTTATTAGATATTAACTATTTTTATTTAAAGATAGATTTTTTTCAATTTATATTGCGGGTGAAGTTCTTTGACTATTCCAGTTTTTGGTTTCTGGACCGCACTGATATATCGGTACTTGCGATATTTAGTTTTGAAAATCTAGTTTAATGTTGATAAGAGGTTTCATTACATTATTATTGCTAAATCCCTTTAAATACGATTATTTGCTAATTCAATGTAGTTTCGTTTCAAAAAAAATACTATTCAATTCTTTTTATGATAACAACGCAAGTATGCACTTGTTTCTTATGAAATTTCTGTACCTGAAAAAAATATGCTTCACTTATTACATAAATATTTTTATTTCATAAAGCTTAAAAGTACACAACAAATAAAAAGTATTTTAAAATTTTTAAAATATTAATTTTTTTAAAAATTGTTAAATTTTTTTTAAAAAATAAATTATTTTTTAAATGTAATTTTTTTTTTAATTTTTTTTAATTATTTTTTTTAATTTAATTTCTTTTTTAAATTATTTATTTTTTTTTAATATATAGGCCTATTAACATAATAAAAGTCATGCAGCTTTAATCAACAATGCCACTTCTTTGCTATTTAACTGTGAAAAAGATGGTTTAAATTAAATAAATTTTTATTAAATAATAAAATCGAAATAAACATTATTAATAATATTTTTATTAATAGTTCAATCCAGAAATATTGCTTACCGGGTCAAAAATATGAAGAAAAGCTATTAGTATTATTTCTTAGTAGCTTATGCAATGCTATCGCCCAAACAAAGAAAGCGGCTCGCGTAGCAGGTTGTCTTAGAGATACTATATGGCATCGGACCTACATCGACGTATGCCATTGAGACAAGAGCCGATATAAAAACCACCGATCATCGCCTAGCCAAGATTGCAATGGTAGAGAAACCTGTCGCGAGATTACTCGGTCGACAACCGTGGATATGGCTTGAATGCTGGACTTCTGAATCTACACAAACAGAATACCAATAATATTTTGATATGTCAAAATTTCACATAAATATATCCAATGCAACTGTTGTAACAAAACAGAATTTAATCCTATAATAAAGAAGAAGAGGAAGGCAGTTGTACAGAGGTGTTTAGCAGAGAGTATTACAAAAACAATATTTCAAAAAATGCTATGAACTGCCTATTTCCGCTTTAAAGGTATTGTTTTTCTTATTGCTTGATAGGAATAATATACTTCATTATCATATCACAAATGCTTTTTTTTTTTGTTTTTTTTTATAAATTTTTTTTTATAATTTTAATTTTTCTTTTGTATTTTTATTGTTGTTTTTTCTCTTGTTGTCATCATTATTATTGTATTTATTGCATGATTTTTCTTTATAATCCGCTATAAAAATGTGAACATCCTATATTTTGTGTAGTTTTCCCTGAAGATGACTATCGAAGATAGTCGAAATATCGGAAATAAAATATAAACGATTTTTAAATATAAATAATAAATTAGTTGTCTTTTTATTTATATTAAAATTTGACCAATTAACCCGGTAACAAATTATTATAACAAATGCTTTTATAAATAGTTTTCTATAAAAATCGCTTTTTATTGACACTTTTATTTCTTACTTTTTTGTCCTTTAATTCTTTCGATGTGTGCTAACGTATCAAGGTAAGTAAATGCAAAGTTAACTGTAAAATCGAATAAATCGTGTCGGATACTTCTGTTATAGTTATATTTAAGATGTTTCGAATTTATTGTATTTATAAAATAATTTATTATATTTTTAAAATAAAGAATCATATCAAAGGAAGTATTTTAGCTTTGTAATGACTAATTTTATCTTTATTTCATTAATCGTTTATGTCATTAGGCAAAAACAGAAATTAACTTCAGGGTGATGCCAGATGCGAGATGGGCAATACTTTTCTTTACCAATTTATCATGTCACCATGCATTTGTAGTAATAAGATAAATGTAAACATATAGTCCTTTGAATAATCGTGATTAAGGGGAAAAATCAATGCCCCCTTTGACTAACTGCATGACCTTCATTATGTCTGAATTTTTTGACTCCTTTCCTAAAATAAAGAAAACAGTGTTGTTGTTTAACAACAAATACACATATTTTTATCTAAAAAATTATAAATAAATATTAGTTTTGAAAACACATTTCACTTAAATCAGTACAATATATTAATAATTATTTGTGGATGAAGATACGTTAAGGGAAGTCCCTTAAATAGGAATTTTAATATTATAATAGCATTTATTGGTAAAATAGATATCTAGAGTACCACATTACATTACTTTAGCTTAAATTAATATATAAAATGAAAAATTTAAAGTACATTTATATTTTAAATACTTTTTGTGATAAGGATGGTCACCTATTTTATGTATTGATGGCGAATACCTTCAATATCAGTAATTAAGTAAACGCTTTAAAAATGTGTTTTGAGATCTACGAAGCAAAAACAACTGCAAGCTTATCAAGAAAATTTGTGATCATCGGAGAGTAAAATATTAACAATACCAGATGTAAAAATTAATTATCTCAAATAGAAAAATTGCAGTTGAAATTAATGCAAAAGTGTTTTTAATAAAATTTTTATTGAAAAGTAAGTAAGGTTTTATAAAAAAACACTTCGAAAAATAAAATGTTTCCAATAACTTTACATCTTATATAGAGTATCTTAATTGCTTGCCTGCCAATAATATGTATTAACACCTCCAGAGGACTTTACAGATTTCACATCAGCAATTTGCGGTTAAGAACTATTTTTATGAATTATAAATAAATAATTGAATTAATATATTAATATTAAATTTTATTTTTTATTATAAAATAATTAATAATTTTATAATTATTATCAAATTACCAACAAACTATTACAGAACCACAATGTAAAATTAATTACCTATAGTCGAGAAAAAATTAATTACATAAAAAATTGTCATAATAAAATTATGATTAATAAATGGGTCATGAATTAGGTAATATTTATAGTCACGACTATATAATCAACAGGTTATTGTAATAAAAGGAAATATATTTTAATATTTAAAAAGCAAATCAGTATACAAACTTATTAAAATAATCAGTCAACACTTGAGTTGACTCGTTTTTTTTTTAATTATCTAATATATATACAATAATCTTTGTGAATGCATTTAAAAAATGAAGCAGAAGTAATTTAAACGCAAATTGTTTGTATTATTAAAAAATAATAACAGATGTGTATATTTATTTATTTATGTATTTATTTAATTGGTTGAGTCAAGCAAGAATTATTTAGTTAATGGGAATTGTTGTTGAGATGTACTCGGAAGTGACATTTTATCAAGTATTACTCACTCACATTAGTCAAAGTCTACATTACCAGAGTAAAGTCTCAATAATATCTTGCAATTTTCTTAATTTTAGTATATTCTAACTAAAGCAATGCCTGAAAATATTGTAAGCTTTTAGTTAATAAAAGTGTATACGACGGTGATAAACAAGAACACAAAAATATTAATTTTAAAATTATTCCTTAAAAAGTGTAAAAATGGTAAAAGTAATGCGAATATATTATTTAAAAATGTATTTAGTAAAAATTTAATTTGTAGCTAAAAATATTTTTTAAATTAACCATTATTATCGTCGTGCTACAAATAAATTCAGCACAGGATTTTGAACCAGACTGGTTATCACCTTTTCCAGGAAGGACAACGAATAAGCCAATAATAACAACCACAAGTGCACCAACCACAAAAACTACTTATTATGATCTGAAACCAACTACACAGCCAACATGGAGAACTTCTACTTATATTCCATACTGGAGAGAACCTATGACTAAGAAAACCACTCCAAAGCCAAGATGGGGAAGTGATCCACAGTGGAACATTTTTAACTTTAACTGCGATTGTAACTCACAAAGTGGGTACAGTTTAATGAGATGGATTTGTAGTGGTATGTATTGACATAAAATATTAAAGAAATTTTTATGAGTGATTATAGTTTTTATGAATTCTGAAGACTGCTATTAACATGTGTTAAAGGTTAGGAAAGATAAGGATCAATACCCTTTTATAGTGATATAAATAAGTTATACTTTAGAAACAAAAAATATTAGTTTCGGCACGAATATTATGGCGTTTTTCTTTCTTTTCGTATTATAGTTCTTCTTTCCATTTTTTGCTTTTTTGACAGCTGTCAAATTAATTACTTATAAGTGAATATTTTATAGGGTAAAATTTGTTCATTAGTCCATTATTTTTGCTGAAGTTTCCTTTGGTGCACAAGGCTGTCACATTAACCCAATTTAACCCAATCTACAATTCTACCATAGAATAATGGAAGTATGCACTACAAGTAAATAAAGAGATTTATAATATTTGAAGTGAAGATATTCCACCACAATCAATTAGCTTAGAATTTGTTATGATCTCTGCCGTACTATTTTGCTGGTATAGAATGTACATGTTAGAATGTTTACAGCTGTATTAGTTTTTCCAGTGTTAAATCCCGGAAATTAAATGAGGTTAAATTGGGGTCATACTGAAAGTAAAAAAATTGTAATAATAAGAAAATATTTTTAACATCTGTGAAAATCCCCAACTACTTTTCGTAATCTATCAATAAATAATAAATAGGTGAGATGAGGTATAGAAACGGAAAATTTCCATGCATCTTTATAAACTTTCATATTATATATATTGTTTGTATAGAATTAATTTGTATTCTGTTTTCTTATCGCTCCCATGTGAATGAGTGATCATACGAGGGCGGTTTGATAAGTCGGCAAATAAACATTTTATTTTTCTTCATAATCACCTTTTAGCTCGATACATTTAGTCCAGTGTTTTTCTCATTATCTTATTCTCTCCAAATAATAGGTTTTCTCAAAGCTCTCAAAATACGCGTTTGTTTTGGTAATGACTTCTTCATTCGACTCAAATCTCTTACCGCTCAGTTGCCCACTAGTAGATTACACGTAACGGCAGCACTGCTGTATTTGGAGTAACTGCGCGGGAAATTCAAAACGTCACTGACTTATCAAACCACCCTCGTATTTCTGTGCATTATATAATTATTTATTATAATAAATTTATAAACAAAAATAAATTAAAATTAGTCTGTAATATTAATAATAATATCAGTATGTTATTATATAAAATGACATAATCAGTTCATCACGGTTCAGATAGATTTTGTTATTATAAACTGAAGCATTGGCATTGACAGGGTTTCGCTAAGGAGCATATAAAATGTACTTATAAAAATATTTTTTTAAAAAGTGTTAGTCAAAAGGGAGACGGGGAAAGAGTACAGTTCAAAACAACTTGGAAAACTTGAAAATTCACATTGTGTCTTTAGATTTCTACGTTATAATGCTTTAATATATTTAAAAGAATTTGTTTTCGGTTTGAAGATCAATCTTTACCCCTTATAACACTCCTCTTAAATACTAAATTCCTACTTAATAAAAATTCTGTCCTGCAAAGTCAATGCAAGGTACACGAAATACAAGAATGGTATACTAAAATTGCAAGAGTGCGAGTATTGCAGAATTGCAACATCAAAATGAGACAGCTGTTTTTGGAGATATTAAAACAGCTGTTTTTCCCTTTTTTGTTTCGTTACAAGCATATATACATGGGTTTAGATATGGCAAGATTGGAAACAGCTGCAAGAAACTTTGAAGCTTATGAGTTTGCAAGACAGAGGGAATACCTTTAATGTATCTTGGCTTACTACTGGCTACAGAAATGCAAGCTGACATTTTACACACTCCAGAAAAGAGAGTTCGCAGCAGATAGCTACATCGCACTTTTTCTCCATCAGTTCACCATTAATAAAAGAACTACAATATAAGATTTTTGCTAACTGTAGCTTGGAACTGTAGTATATGCTAATTTCAAAAAAAAAAACCAATAAGTTTAACATTTTACACTTTTTCTTAAGAGAGTAAAACAAGAGCAGAAAATTTGCGCTAAAGTTTTCTATTTTGCCTATTTTTTGTAAATGACTACAGCATAAACTAATAAAATAGCCTGAGTATTTGCAGGCTATCGTAATACCACGATTACTCAATCAAATGAATTTGGTAGTGTTCGAGTTAAATGATTCATGTATGATTATTACCGGCAGTAAATTTTTTCTATTCTATACCGACAGACAACATTATTTTGAAATTTATTTCACTATTAATTTCATTAAGAGATATCAAAATCATACCCATCACAGCAATAGAGAAATTGTTTATTAAACCTTTATTAACTAAATATTAGATAGAGAGGTTCCGAAAAGTAGTGAACTAAAACAATATAAATTATTTTTATATTATTTTAACTAATTGAATTTTTGGATGACCACACAGCTGTTTCGAGTATTGCCAAATACCCATCATCAGTGGTCTTGAAATTATTAAATTATTAATATTTATTATTAACTATTAAATTCAATAAATAAATTGATAATATATTTTGCATTTTCTTAATTATTTAATTTCAGTATCGAACTATATGACCACATATCGTTGTTGTAACGCTTGTACAGGCTATAGGCCAAGTTGTCATCACAATGAGTATTCAATGAAATCATCAGAGGAATATTTAGATAATAATTATTATTATGATTATGATAATTATTATTATTAACAAATTTTCAAAATCAAATAATTAACATAAGTTATAAAAATCAAAATAATAAAACATAATTACAATATAGATCATTCATATTTGTAAATATTTAGTCCAAATTATAGAAATTTCCAAAATGCAAAAAACAATCTTTAAGACTTTGTTGACACTGACAAAAATCAGGAAATGGTGGTGCCAAAACTTCATACATTATTTTCAATAAATCGATATATTTATTTAAAGCCTTTGAATATTCACCAGTATCATAAAGACGTTTTGCGGTACGTGTCATCATTTCAGTATCCTAAAAATATTTCATACATTATAATATTATCATTATAATACATATTAAATAATATATATTATTTTCTCACCTGCATAACCTTAAGGCCTTTGAATATATTTGTACATTCACCACAAGTAACGCACTTAACCATAAAATCATTACATGTTGCTGGGACCTCAATAATTGAGGTACATGTATTAGGTGCATCGCAACGGAAACGTATAACATCAGTGGGTAAGTTTTCAAAAGTTGGCCAGTTCTCTAAGCAAGCATCACAACTACAATCGAAACAATATAGATCTTTAAGTTTAGATTGTCGTTCTTCACGCGATTCTTGTGTATACATAGGACCATAATTTTCTGATATGGGCAGACCAGCTTCAATTGGACGAATTGTATTGACGTGTATTGTGTTGCCACGGAAAAATCTAAATTTGTTTATAAAGATGATTTCGTTAATAATATTATTTTATATTCTTATTAAGTTTGTCACCTTACAATACCAGGATCACAAGAATGATTGAAAAGTGCTAAATTTGGATACAGTGCGCCACCAATAAATATAGTCTTTTCATTGCCATCTGATTGGTATTTGTGGAGTTCTGCCACTTCGTGTGTATTGTATTGTAGAAGCTGAAGCGTATAAAGCAAAAGTCCACTAATATCCAAAATATTACGTTGACTAGCCTTCTCTTCAAAGTAACCGCTTTCTTGTAGACATTTGGTGAGGAAACGTGCCATCAATGCATGTTGAAAGAAATTCGATGATGTACGAGTATCTTCATGACGAACTAAATGTGATATGCGATGAAAATCGTCTTTAGGAAGTCTGAAAAACAAATAAAGTAAGTAATAATTTTATAATTTTTTTTTACATCCTTACTTTTGAATTTCCTGTATCGTAAACTGCTTATTAACGTCATCCTTTATTTTAAGAAAATAATCCACAGACTTACTAGCAAAAATACGTAATGCCATATGACAGTTAATGGATGCACCAGAACGCCATATTAAAGGTAATATTCCACACTCATATTTATGATATGTTTTTGAAGCATGAGTCTGACACTCCTCTGAGCAATATATAACATCAGCACATTTAGGACAAGCAACGGGTATAGCAGTACTATTTTAAAAGAAAATAAATTGAAATATGTTGTCAATATATTGTCAAATCTTTTATTTACCGTGAAAAACAGTTTTCACAATGCGTTTTTGCATATTTCTCTAGAAGCACCGCTACGAATGGTTTCTCTACAAGAATTTCTTCCCCCACTTTTATATCCGCATTAGCACGTGCAAAACGTCCTTCTTCTCTATTCTGATCAAAGCGAACTGTGGAACTAATAAATTCTTTCTCTGCTGGTAAAGCTAAAGAAAGTTTGACTTCACCCATTTTCTTTTGTTTCTCAGCTTGTTTAGCAGTGCGATTATCTCTTTCTAACATTTTAATCATAGTCATAGCATCCAAATTCATTTTTCCACGCTTGTCACTTGGTAGATTGGAATCATCCAACGCCGTTATGCATTTCCTTCAAAAAGAAACAGTGCGCAAATGAAACATTATATATTATATTTACTTGTATTTTATGCACTTACTTGAAAGCAGCAATCGTACAGGGATAGTTCATTTTAGCCATATAACAACGTGCTTGTCGCTCGTATAATTTATAAAGCAAATCTTTTGGATAGCCTAGTTCCATTGATCTCTTTATATCAATCAGGCTCTCATCATATTTCTTCATGTGGTACAATGTTGCCGAACGATTGGCCAATGCTATTGCTTTATCAATTGCTACAGTTTTAAATCAATAGATATAATGACAAGATATATATTATATATAGCTGTACCTATATGTAACAAATATGTATGGGTATTACCTTTCTCCTGTGGCACCGCAACATAGCTTTTGGTATACAACATCATAGCTTCCAACCATTTTTTAGCTTTAAAAGCTGAATTACCTTTTTCTTTTAGATCAGCCGCAATAGCACTATCCTTTCCATTATATTCACGTCGTACTCGTAGATCATCATCACGTTCTTTCACAAATGTCAATTGATCAACAAAAGCCATGCGCTCGACATCATTGTGACATTCCGCAATCTTTTCAATTTCTTTATCAAAACTTGATAAATTTGAGTTCTTTAGGTTGAGATAATAATCGGGGAAGAATCCAGATTTTTCAGTTAAACCCATTTTTAGTTTATTTTATATAAATAAAAAATTTTTAATTGTAATTAATTATTTTTCAATATATGAAAACTTTATTTTTAGAACGTTTCGTGTAGAAAACTGCAACAGAACTGAAGGAAATTTCAATTTTCTTCTGATGTGGTGTGTATATTTTTTTAAATTTATTTTTAGAACTTCGAAGAGAAATGTGAGGTAAGAATTTATAGATCTCTTAAGTTTTTACCGGCGAATGTAGTTTGTTTATTTCAATTGTTTACAAACAAATTGTAATGTAATAATAAAAATATATATGAAGCACAAGTAATAATATTGAAATTTGAATTTATTTTATAAAAATAATAAAAAAAATTAAAATAGAACCATGTTTTATGGTTGTATCTTAAAGATATATTAAAGATAATTTGACAGACATATTTCAAGTACAGTCTGGGTGAAGCAATATGATTTTTTAATTTAGGTGTTTAAGAGAATGCATTTGTGAATATTTAATTGGTAACAAAAGACTTACTAAAGTAATCTATGCTTTTGTGTAGTTTTACAGGTAAATGGAGAATTCCTATACCACCTACGGAACTTCTGTGACTTATTCCATAATTCTAACTACCCCAATCGTTTACGCGCATCTGAATCTACGACATCAAAGCCAATATATCCTTTTGACCATCAAAGCTAATATGTCCTACTGACCGAAAGAAATAGTTCAGTAATATTTTTTTGCTTAAGAAATATTTTTTTTGATCTTTAGTTATACTTCAAAAATGACAATGTATAAAAAAATGTTCCAAAAATTAAAACGTTTTCTTATAGCAATGGATATAATTATATATTATTTTTAGTGATATTATTATAAAATTTTCGATTGATTTTCAAAAATTAGCTTTTGGCAAATTCCTTTTTTATTGTCAAAAATTTAAACATTCTGTTGAATCAAGAAAAAATTATCCGATATGTATTAAAAAAATAGATTGACAAGATCCCAGGCTCAAAACTTGTTTGCAAAATTTCGTTCCGACAATTTTAATATTAAAGATGCACCACATTCTAAAAGGCCGTTAATTAATGCAAACCGACGAATAATAACTCATGAGATCACTGAGATAAAAAAATTTATCGAATTCGACCAGTTCATTATCATTTGGAACCTCTACATTTCATCTCAAAATTAAAGATATGGGTTCTACATTTCTACGGAAATCAATTCTTGCTATTGTGATGATGCACTAAATGGATTCCCAATAATTATATAAAGTAAAAAAGGTGAACTATTTAAACCACTTTAAAGGTCAATATGCTTTCATAATATCTTCGTAATGTGTTTTCCATGAAACTTTTTTTTGAGATTATACTGATTAACACAAGGATCAATTCTGAAGTGAACTTTTATCAAATAGATACTTATAGAAATAGATATTAGAATAAATACTTCATTTAAACAGTGTAATCAGAATTTATCAATAGAAAAGGTGTAGTGTTCCACCAAGATAATGCCAAGTTTCCACCACAGAAATTTGGAAACTCACCTAAATCTTTTATGGCTTGAATGAGTTATACTGCCACATCCACCATATTCTCCAAATCTAGCACCTTTTGATTAAATATTTCTGTCCTTACAAATTTTATAGATCATCACCTGAATCTGGTTTTTGCATTGAATTATATTAATGACAAAATATATGATATTTTAACTTAATCGAAAATCATAATTCCAAATATACCATATTTCTTACTATAAGAATATAACTTTCAATTTCATAAAATATAAACGATATTTTGTTTTCGAACAATTTTATAAAAGCATGGTTTAAACAATAAAAAATTAATTGTTTTTAACAAATTATTAATTATACTATAAATTTCTAACTGAAAAAAATTGCAGTTAAAGATTTCCAAAATCCTCTTTCTGAATATTAATTAGTTTACAAGTTCAAACCTCAATTTAACCAATAATATTATTAATAAATCTTTAAAGTCGAAGATATAAAGCTTGAGCTAGAATGATATATATACACAGATATATAGTTATACCAACCTTAGATATTAAAAAAATTGTATCAATTCCATTATGCCTCCTGTGAGGATTGAACTCACGACCCCTGGTTTACAAGACCAGTGCTCTGCCACTGAGCTAAAGAGGCGCTTTGAAGCCTCTTTTACGTCAAACATTAAGTTTTGATAAAATTTTAGAACAAACTCAAGAAAAGATAAAAAGTTGTTTTAAAAAAGAAAAAAGTTTAAATATTTGTTTTTAAGTTTTTTTTGTTTAACATACTAAACAAATGTTTTGATAAGTGACTAAAAACAATAACGTTTCGTTGTGTTTTCGTATTTTTTAAATTCTTTTAGATTTAAATTCAGACCCATGAGTCAACATTTTTAAGTTTAAACACTATATATTCCATTAAAAAAATAATTATATTAATGATTTCTTTTAATAAAATGACTTTATTGTGTGTTTTTAATAATAAAGAAACATAAGAATATCTAAAATATACATATCCTGATAATAATATATAATATATTTGTGCGTATATGTTTTTCTGGAAATATAACCCAAGCTGATAAATACATTATTAATACTATTTTCTGATATGTATCTAAACTACTATTTTATATATATGTATAAACTCATATATTTAGATCTTATACGGTGGAGTAGTTAAGTGAGAAACCTTTCAACTGCTGATATCTTCTAAGACCTCTTTCCTCTTAGTTTTTCTTTAAGATTTTGGTTGTTTGCGATTCTCTGTTAATTTTTCCCGAAATATTTGTTTTAATTCCTCTGCACCTGTACGATTTATTTCATCATAGTAGGGCAACTCAGCTAAACGCTTCATCCAAGCTAAAACTTTTGGAAATTTATATTCATCAATTGGAGCTACATCATCAACAGATGTTACAGTAGCGACACAACAGAAGTCAGCTATCGTGAGCTCTTCACCGCAAAGATAAGTATGTTCTTTTAAAAAATTCTCTAAAATATCGTAACATTTTTGTATATAAGCGATTTTATCTATTGAGCAATCGGTGGAACCATAGTAGAGTATAGGTTCATATAACATACGTAGACGAGCAAATAAATGTCCAGAGTCCAAATGCAAACGTGCATCGACTTGTGCACGTTTTACTAAATCCTTGGGATAAAGTTTATCATCTTTGCCATATTTTTCCACCAAATAAGAGCAAATTGCATGTGAATCAATAATAACAGCTTCATCGTCGATAAGAGTTGGTATGGTATGTTGTGGATTAATTTTTAAAAATTCTGGAGTGAGGTGTTCACCTTTGATTAAATTGATTGGACTGGAAGAAAAAGAATTATAAATTAATAAATTTAAACGTTGTAAAAAATGCGTACCCATTATTTTTGAAAATATATTAAAATAAAGTACTTATATGTACCTATATATTAAAAATAAATTTTATGAATGAAATTAATTTAAAACTAATATAAAATTTTAGTGATATTCAAAATAAAAATATGTAAACTATATAGAAGGTACATGTGAGATCGGAGTACCGATACGTTTTGGGTACTAAGTTCTGTGATACGAAATGTCAACGTTTATAAAATTTATTTTTATAATTTAATTGCTTAATATTAAATTAAAAAATGACTTTGAAAGTTTAGGTATTATAATCTAAAATCTCATACTTTTAAATAATCTAAATCATTTCATAGATATTTCCCAAATTTTTTTTAAATTTGTCCTTTGAGCCATTTACGTACTTTCTTAAATTTAATTCCATATTATATCTACACTAAATTGTGTTTGTAAATGAGTTTTTACCGTAGCTCTAAATCCAACTCCAAGGCCTTTGCTGTTAACATCACAGCTCGGGATGGTGGACTTAATGTGGCATAGTAAAGTGCAAGTTTTGGCATTGTCTGAAAATTAAAAAAAAAAAATAATTAATTTTGAAAAATTATAAATAACTTCACAAATCCAAAATTTAGCAAAACCTGAATATAAATTTTCGTAGAGATATATTTATCTAATCGGACCGTTAACATTCTTAATGGTTCGAAAATGCGGGGCTTCTTCTAACGAACTACATTAGTTTATAGTAAGAATGTACATTTAATGTCACTATGTTATATATAGCTATGTATTTTAACATACTAAACTCAAAAATCATATTTAAAAAAAAATTAATGTGTAGGTTTTTGAGATATAGGGCTTTAAAAATTTTTTTCTTTCTGAAAAGCATATCTCAAGTTGTGAGCGTTCGATTGTGTATAACAAGATATCAATAATCGTTGTATACATAATTTTCTAATCGATTTAGTAGGTCTAATTTTATGGAGATATGTATAACAGTATTTAGTTAGTTTAGCGTGTCATTGCAATATATCTGATAACAAGCAGACGAGCTTGCCTGGAAAGGCACGCTGCTTTCTTTCATTGTTTACTTGAATATTAATATCTCATTTGCTACGATTAAGCTGACAATTAAGAATAATATCTAAATATAACTAAAAACAACCTAGACAGATTAAAATTTTTTTCAGACCTCAAAATATACTTGATCCAAAGCAGACATAAGTAATTGTCATGTTTCACTTTAACTAAAACATAATCAGTTTTGTACAATGGTATCGGTGCTGACAGATCACTGTGTATATTACACACATGTATTGAAACTTCGTCTACCTATAATAATTTTTGTTGTCAGTATGACTCTGAAGAAAAAGAGGAACCTTTACTAATGCCCATTTTTGATGACTTTGACCAGTTTAAAAATATTTAGAGTGTTTTCTTACCGACCTGCCACAAGTCATGTGTCATCTTTTAATGGGTTTAAAACACAGCTCATTTAATATTTAGTAACAAAAAAATGAATCAGTTAGTTAAGAACCTCTGTATACTGTGCCTAACTAATTTATTGCTTTAGTTTGAAATAACAACTAAACTAAAAGAAACTTTTGTACTATGTTAAAGTATTTACTTTCTAATGTTCTTTTATAGTATGTTCCCACTGCCTTCATTAAAGCAGTTTATTTGCTTGAGGTTGCTAATAAAATTTGATTAACCATACAAAGAACTTTCGTGCTTTTTAACTTTGTTAATAATTAATCAAGGGAAATTACATCAAAAATGTCGAACACAATTTTGCAAAATATATTTTCCAAAAAGGAAAAGATCGAAATTGACATATTTGATACATTAAAAAAAATGTGAAGAAACGAAAAACAAAGAACTCAAATAAACTAGAGGTAAAATATAAAATTGATGTATAAAACTACATAAATGAGTTTATATCTAAAATATATATATGATATCCTTATATATATCATATATTTTTTAAAAAAAAACATATTCATTTCAGCAGAACTTTTCTCCTTCAGATGCATAAATTAAGTTACAGTAATGGAAACGACCAAATCTTAATACGATTCACAGTTTTGGCTGCAGTGGGAACATGATATTAGTCAACTACAGAACCTCTATAGATTAGTTTTAAGACCTACAAGTTTCTTAGGTTCACACAATGAGCCAATAGATGTTTGGGATTGCCATTAGAATTTAATCTAACCTAGCTACTGTATAGTGCTAATTTAAAAACGACTTAATTATTTTTAATAAATTTTAATTAACATATTTGTTTACAACGCAGCAAACGTTGATTTGCAGTTTTGTTGCAAGAAAAACTTTATGTATCAAAATGTGTTACTAATTTTTGTAATTAATTTATTTAATGTTTTCCGTAACATTATTCTTAATTACCAAATAAAATTTTAATAACTTAATAACAAAAAATATAATCCAAATATCATTTAAGAAATTTTATATGCTTATATGTACACTAAACGGTATCAACCTTACCAAAACTGTAAACAACCTTTTTCCTTTAATGTATTATATTTCATATAACCAATAACATGAGGCTAATAAAGTTTTTTAATCCATTTTGAAAAATGGTTTCATATAAAAAATATATATATATATATATACCTATATATAAATCCATTTAATAATAAACACGTAGATATACACAATACTTAATGTGCGTATAGAAAAGACATAATAATGATTACCTTTAAATATGTTTGTTGAACTAAATACATACGAATATATACTAGCGTGCTAGACTACAAAAATGAGTATACCCTAAACACAATTAGGGCTAATATTTATAGGAAATACATTTTAAACAGAGACTGTCAGTATGTAAATTTTGCGAATACTGTAAAGTATATGGGGTGATATCAGACATCAATATTTGTCATCGTATCTTCTATAAGGAACATTTATAGGCAATAGCGTAAGTCATAAATACAAAGTTATGTGATGTACATATATTATAAAATAAATAATACATAACTAATATTAATATATTACTATAGAATTAATAAATACTCGCTCATATATAAAAATAAAATTTCGTATTAAATTGATTTGTTTAATTTCACAGATAAAGTATTAGCTACTTAAAACAACAAAATAAAATAAAATATTTTAAAATATTGTAAACTGATAATAGTAACTTGTTGATTGATATAATATATAAGTATTTAATTAGTAACACAATACAATGCCTTGATACTAATATATATCACAAAGTTATATCACATAAAATCAAGAGGTCTTAAGTATGAAAAAATAATTGTAATAATAAAATCGACAATAGAATTTATTTCTATGTTCTAATCAGAAAAGAAACAATGAGGTTTTGTATGGATATAGAAAGAATAATCAATAAGTTCATAAAAAAATAAATATGAAATAGTTGATTCTAATATTTTCTGGAGATATGAAAATACGAAATCAATAACTGACAATATCAAATCATTTTACCTGTAGTAGTTGTTAGTAGTTATAGTAGTTAAAACTTGAAGATTAATAAAAATAGAAATACAACTTTAACTATAAGCTATGACGCTTAAACTATACCAAAAAATATTAATACAAGATTAATAATTAATAATAATACCTTTTTAAGATATTTACGAAATATTGAATATATATGTAGATATCAACATAACTGATCATTTTTTATATATTTTCTTTAATATTAAGATAGAAATACTTCGAACACAGTTCTTACTAGTGCAACAATACCAATCTCGTCTCTAATATCCTCTATCATCTATTTCCATAGAAACGTTCTATAATTTTTATCTCTCTGTAATATCTTATATTAAGTGCAATAAATTAATAACTATTTAGTTGTTTAGTTTAACACAATACCACAAGTTGTCGAAAACTTTTATTTTATCAAATAAATAACAAAAATTCCAAATATTTATATGCAAAAGTCTTTGTTGGGATTTAACGTAAGTTAAAGATAACTTCTACAACAGTTTTATTTTCAAGACATCTTTAACATACTTCACATATATATATACATCACTATAAGTTTTATTTTATTTATAAGGAAATATTAAGGAATGACAAATCGAATCATTTTAACAATCATACATAAAAAAACCTTTCAAACATTTTATAAGTGGAAACTATACTAGCTCATTATCAATTAAACTTTATCAAATCAATATAGATATACATATATATATGTAGAGCTTTAATTAATAATTACATTGAATATAATAAATTCATGATGCCCCACAAACACAATTCCTAATCATTCACACCAAAATGGTAAGCATCCATTTTGTATTCATTAATTAATACCATACTTTAAATTTTATAATTCTCATTTAGTTAAAATGTACTCTTGCTAAGAAGTATTTTATGTTATTATTAAAGTGCATAATTATTTTAATGAAAGTTGTAATGTAATAAGATTTTGTGAACCAAATTATTTTTTATAGTGTTATTTTTTTATAGGCTAATTGGTCAAATTTATTTATTGTTGTTAAAATTAAAAAAAAAAATTAAAAATTTCACAATTTGATTTTTCAATAATTTTTATTTTTCTTCGATATTTCGACTTTAGTCTAAAGTCATCATCAGGAAACTTAATGAAAGTTGTAATGTAATAAGATTTTGTGATTAGAGTAGTATGATTTAGATTTAAATCCAATTTCGTTTCAATCATAACATTTAGTTGAAAGTAGAAATATATCATTTAAGATTTTAATAACACCATTCGTCATCAATATTTTTATTACATAAATTTCTTGATATTCTCAATTACTGCGTTTAAATTTTATAATTTATATAAGTATAAGTGCGAAGAAAAAGTTTTGTTTTTAATATAAGAGAAACAGAAGGTATTAGTATTAGAAGGTATTAATTCGTTATCATTTCTCAATTTAATTTTTACGGTACAGCTTGAAAAACATATAAGAAATTTTCATAACATCAATATTTATCACCAATATTTTAAACATTTAAAATTGATTTAAATAACGATAAATATTACATCAAATATATGATATTCATAATGTCATGTCCCCATAATCACAATTCCTAACGATTTTATCTCCTATATATAATGCTTATTAATATCTGTAACTGTTATTAATAATTCCTTTAATTGCAACAAAATTATGAGGTGAATCAATGTTTATTTAGTAATCATTGGAAGTTGGCTATATATTTAAAATATCTAGTCTATACCCTTGTTTATATTACATAGTAAAATGTTACATATTTAACTACACGTATTTCTTAGAATACCCAAACAACAATGACTTTTCATGAATTCTTACTTTACAGTTAATTTATTTAATATTAGTGTTATCTAATGACCTCTAGTAAGCCCTTTGGAACTATTACTTTTCGAGTTTTTTTTTCTTACAACAATGTATAACAAATTTGATACATTTTTCAATTATTTACTTGTAAGGTTTACTCTTAAGAATAGTTTGCTCAACTATTCTTTTGAGCAGTGATACACGGGTGGTTTGATTTCTAGTAATGAATCTCTCGTGTCCACTTCTGCAAATATTCAAAAAACGCTTATATCTCTTACTAAGAATGCTCAAACAGTAGTCTTATTCATAGTATTTTGCATTTAAGGATTATCTTCGCGACGTCTAGCAAAGTAATATAATACGGTATAGCAACTAAGTAACTAATAACGAGAGATACTTTACTTTACTTTACTGTAATTGTTTATAATAAAAATGCGGATGAGCTCGCAAGAATCACTTTAGAAACAAAATTCAACAGTTCGGTACCTTATTGTAGAATTATTCATTTAATTTCTTTAGTTCTTTGTGGAATATAGGATATTATTATTAAATCAGATAGTTCATTACTAATTGTCTAATAAACAATTTAATAAATGTCGAGAGGCGTCGCTACTACTAACAAATTTCAACAAATTACAAGCTATAAACTTCTACAGTTCGGCGCCTTATTGTACAATTATCGATCTACTCAATTTCTTCAGTACTTTGTGAAATATGGGGTGTCATTGTTGAATTGGTTAGTTCATAACTAAAACCCTGATAAACTATCGAGACGTTACAACTACTAACAAATTTCTAGGAACCAACAAGTTAACGAAGAAATTAATTCTGTTGCTATAAAATAGTAGCTTTCCTTAACATACTGTCGAGTTTGATAACATTCTAATATCTTAAAGTGAAGGAATTGTCTGATGTGACAGAATACACACATTTTGTGTGATTATCCAGTTATGATCTACTAGGAACACTATATTGAGCATAAATTTTAATATTGTCAGCAAGTAAAAAATTCTTAATAGGTGACATTCTAGATTCCAGTTAACAGACAGTAACCTTTCTGTTTAGTTAGATAGTTTTTATAACGCAAAAGATTTGTTATAGTCGCAGACATTTGCTCTTAAAACTAGTACTCTAATTTAATTAAATATTATTAATTAAACATATAAAATAAAATAATAGCTAAATCTGATATAATGATTATTCGGAAATATTATACTTTCAAATGACCGAGTGTAAGTCAACACAAAATAATTTTACAAGAGTTCTAATAATTCCTATGGGCTTTGTTTTTTTTGCGAACACAAAGCAAAACATTCAAAAACAGAGGCAATCGCGTTTAGATAATTGTACGATATGACATAGGTTACAAAATTGTTAAAAAATACTATATATGTATATATTTTACTTATGTATGTATATCAATAATATTGCCTGTTTAATAATTATCTGTTATGCATTTAAAAATAATAATTTAATAGAGTACCAGTACTTATACATATACAGTGTTAACTTGATAAATTGAACACGTTGTTATGTACATTAAAATAATAAGATAGTCTTATATTCAGGTTTCATATTTAGTTTTAATTCAATGTACTCGTAATATTGTGATCGATTCAAATAAGTATTTGTACTCTATAAAAGATACAAATCTTTCAGTATTTTTAAAAGGTGTCTATATATACATCTGACTGAATTGATTATTGATCATATATTCCATAAAACTCATGAAAATTAGTTATGTAGACAAACGTAATTCACAGATTATATACATTTTAATCACTTAAATATATACTTTACTTTTTATTTAAATATTTTAATTTAAAAATTTATTGTGTACCAAATCTGAACACTTATCACAAACTATTAATATTCATTTTATAAAATTTCCACTGTAGATAAGTTAATTATATTCGTTAACTACAAATCAAGTTTATCTCAGTTACTTATTATCATTCTCCCCTTCCATATAAGTATTTTATTTACAAAACGAACAATAAATTAGAATCAGAGGAGGAACTGAGATATTATTTGTTTTTTGATATAGAATTACTCTTTTGTTTATTTTTCGTTTATATCTCGAACACTTATGTATGTATATATGCCGACAAACTTAATTATTACATACAAGTATATACAAATAGTTTATATAATTTGCCGAATTAACATAAAAACAAACTGAGCGACACAATCAAACAATCACACAATGCACAAGATACATTCACCACACAATACTTACAGATACTAAATTTTCACAATCGAAACCGCCGGATTTCCAAACTCGTTGTTTATAGCGCGACCGCCTGAGAGAGACTAAATGAAACTATGTAGATTCTACACTACAGAATATAAATTGTATTTGCTAGAATTACTGCAGCGTAGGTTTGTCGGTAGATATGTTTCTCATACATATTGACACTTCTTACTTAAGTGCACAAAGTTGCTTAATTCGAGATAAAGTTTTTAAAATAAAATTAAAAATATTGAACTGCTAGACGGCTTTAATTAAAGACTATTAGAAGTCAAATGATTGAATATCTGCTATAGGTGTCAACTCAATCAGCACTCTTATTACTGTATTCGTTAATGCTCATTGAAATTGTATATGGAATAACCTATCTAAATAATTAAAAGTCATATCATTTTGAAACATTTTACAACCATATTTCAGTCTAGTAGCGAATACAGAATTGTATATTCTAGTCTAACCTATCTTAATTATTAAAAGCTATATTATTTTGAAATATTTTACAATTTTACAATTTCAGTATTCCTTAAGTAGCGAACACAGCATTGTTTATTCGCTGACCACTACGATCGTTTTGGGCGCCATCTAGTTTGCGTATGAACAACGCTAATCCGTAATATCACAACGGACCATTTATTGAAGTCAAATGCATTTTAGTGCACTGTAGTAAATAAGAAAACCGAACGTACTTGAATCCTAAAAAAGAAAATATTTGACAGTCTTCATGCAATCTTGATAGAGTGGAGTTTCGGTATCGATAGAAAGACCATTAGACATTCTTCAATAATACCACATATATAACTTTTATAATAAATTTTACTTAAATATGCAAAGACAAACATTTTAAATAACACAGCACAAGTCTCCAACCACTCCAACCTAACCTAAGATAAATTACGGATATGAAAGACATTTCTATTTTTTGTATAAAGAATAGTCGACAGTTTCACAACATCTAAAGCGTATCAATTTATGGTTTTAATTGAGCAGCACTATTTCAATGACATATCAAACACAAGAATCAACCAAAGTATCCTACGCTTAAAGGTTTACTAACACGATCAATATTAACACACACCGTTTAACAACCGCTAAATTTCTGATAGAAATAGCTTGATTACAATATATTTTGTAATGCAATTGAAGATATCCCTGAATGTATCTCAGAATATAATAAGGGCATACGAACCGGAATCGGATGGACCTACATGCCGTAGCCAGTCGTCAATCTCCATGACCAAGTGCAGTTCATCAACCCCAAAGATATTTAATAAGCGGATCCCTACAGGCTACAACAACAACAATCGGACCCGATAACTGTGTATTGTGAAATAATCATGATGCCGAGTTCAAGATCAACTAATTTCAACACTGATCAACGCTTATATTTTTACCGATAAAGTATTAAGTAAATTCGTTTAGACTTTTAACACTTTATTATTTTATCTAATACTTAGTTACTCAATACATCAAATATAAATTAAATCGATTTTACTATTACGTGCAGAATGATAGTGTATAGTTAGTTCTAAAATACTCCACTTCAAAATTAACCACGTCTGAGTAATATAACCAATACTAATTTTATTATTTGTGAAAATTATAACTGGATGAAAATATATGTGCACCAGATACAAGTTTCTAAAATCGGGCTGTTATATACTGAATATAATATCGTGGAATCATTGATTTGACATGTATAAATACAAGCGCGATCTCTAGAGATTCTCCTTCGATAATGGATCATAAATTGCACACAACACACATCAGTCTCACTTGGTGCTTAATGGTCTTTAGAATGGTCTTAAAATACATTGGTAATATTAAAAACATTGTCTATTTGTCCTCAGAATTGTGGAATTAAATGTAAAATATATATATGACAGCCATTGCATTCTTAAATACCGAACAGTAAAGCGGAAATAGTTAGAAATGTGAGACTTTGATTTTGAAGCTTTCTCAATCCACACCACATAAATTTTGCAATTAATTAATGAAATGATTCACATATTTAAGGTTTGATCTGATCTTCAAGAGTATAACTTTTAAAATTTATGTTGCAATCATATAGTGAAATCTTTTTCAATATGTTTTATATATTTTTAAATAAAAAAAAATGCACAAATATACATTTTTATATTAATTTATATTTATATTTCTTTATATTAATTTATATTAATCAGTAATAACCTTGACGTGTAGATCCATAATAATCTCTGTTTAAAAATCTTCTCGTTTTAATATAAAAAAAAACGAAGCAACTTTTATTATAATACAGATAATTCCTATTAGACATGCTTTCACTCTGATTAGATATTTCTTATACAAATTTTAAAATTATCATTACATCATAAGATATACTACAACTTCTAGCCCCCACTTTTAACTATATCAAAAACTGCGGCGCAGACAATAAAGATTTTTCAGTTGAGAGATATATAAATCCCAATTCTGTACATTTCGTTGCTTACACCATCAACAACGAACGAAGTTCTAATACAAATTATCGTATTTAAGGAGATCCAAAAGTAGGGTTTATCGTATGATAATAAATCGGTACAAGCAAGTTTTCAATATCAAGAAAAATCAGCCTAACCATAAAACTAGATTAATCAAACCAAAAAGTATATATAGTAATAAAGAGAAAAATGGAATATATTTGAATATATTACAAAAATATATTTACTAATTATAATATATAATATTTTAACTATATAGTAAGAAAGAGAAAGATGGAATATATTTGAATATAATATAAATATATGTTTACTAATTATAATATATAATATTTTAACTAATTTCTGGGTACTAAAAGACCTTATTAAGCTTTAGCTACCTGAAAGAGATCCTGCTGGTTTGAGGTTTAGCGATATACGTTTTCGTTCTAGAAAAAAATTTAGTTAAGCTTTAGTTAAAATTTCACAATAGCAAAGAAATCGAAGAAAGTGAGTAACATTTACTCTATTGTTGTCCAGATCACAGCCATTAGCGGCATTACAAAATAGTGCTATATGTCCAACTATTTTTCTTTATTAACTTTATTATGAACTATATATAGTAACAGCAAACTCTTAAAGTTTGGTAGAAGTTTGAAATGATTTTCTAAACCAAGTCAAATCTGTAGGTGGTTTATAATGACAACACTCATAGAGCTTAAATTGATCATAACTTCTTGGCATTAGTGCCCTAACTTAAAATGCTTAATGTATCTTAATTTACCACTTTATATTTAGCTGAGAACTCTGCAATTAGTAGTTTGAAAGAAGCATTCTAATAAGATAACATACGATTTCATATGCAATAAATTAGTGTAAAGTGTAAAGACTTAACCAATTTCTAACTATTTCTAGAATTATGTATATTATTTGGAAGGAGTACAAGAGGTGATAGCTAGTGGTTTCTTATCTTCAATGCTTTATAGAAAATCGATGTATACAGTACGTTTTTCCTTTTAAAAATAAATCATTTAGCATTATACACATTTTTTTAAGTAAAGAAAGATTATTTTTATTATTCTTATTATTAATATTAAAATATTAACATCATTTAATATACTGAAACATAAAAAATAAATTCAATAAAGCTGTTACTTAGATGGTTGCATGTCTGGAATCACTCTGTCATCGCTCTTCAATAATGTTGCTCTCATTACTCCATCTGTGTTCAACCGTTCACAAATCAAACAACTTCCCGAAGATATTTGAATCACTTAGTGTAGTTACAGATGATATAGTCCCTTTTACGACTATGCTATATACGTATTTGTAATTCCTTTCATGTAGATCTACACGAATTATCACAACAACAATAGCAGTAGGTAAAACATTTTATCCACTTTTAAAATAAAATTAATCAAATAGGATTTCCTAATAATTATATTAGTTATGTGAATTGTTTGTTATAAATATTTTATTAAATCATAAATTAATTTTATAATTGAGTAAACAATTTGCTCGTTATATGTAACTTAAAATTTTATGCTATAAGGTAAATAATACATTTACATTTGGTTTAACCAATAAGATTTCTTGATAATATCATTTTTATAAGATAATTTTATATATATGTAATGCTATTATATGTATATGGAATTAATATGTATGTTTGAATGGGACATACACAGTTCATTGAAATTAATATATAATAAATAAACAAAACGAATAGTTTCTGAAACAATTAAATAAGCATTTAATATATTATGTGATATCATATTATGCGTATATATCATATAGGTATATTAAAAATAGACAAAATATACTTTAAATAGAAAACATAAAAATTTATGAATTCAACTTAAAATAATATTTTAGTCTAAGAAAATACAGTTTGATATTTGCGTTCATATATGTATATTTTGATATAAATACATTGTATATAAGAAATCATAAAAGAAACTTCTTTAAACATACATAATAAATTGTATTTAATGGTATTATGTTTACTTAATGATTATGGAAAAAGTAATATAATTTAAATAAATGATACAAAGAATATATATAAAGTTCTTAATTATTACATTAATTTCCAATAAAAAATAAAAAAAAATTATTTTAGATGATAAGAGATAAGATTTTAAAGGAATCTTGTCGCAATTTCGTACTTCATGACGATACTTAATATAATTGTTGAACAACTACTTTAACTATGATTGATACTTATGCTAATGAGGACGCATAAAAGCACAGTTTACTGAGTAGAGTGCTGTCGCATCTTGATTCAAAACTCTTTTGGGATTAAAAAAATTAAATAAATTTGACTTGTTTGTTATAAACTTAAATCGCTCCAATATTATTTTGTTAAGAAATATATATATACATATATATATTCTCAACAACAATATCCATTAATGATATATATTACATTAACATTACTTACACAACTACTATGTAGTAAAATTAGAAAGAATGAAAAATCAGTATTTGAGATAAAATTTGTTCAATTCGCTCATATGATTTCCAAATGTTTATATTCAAAAATTAAAACCAAAATAAGCAGTACGACAACTTTGAATATTTAAATTTTGTATTAAATCATAAAATATATGCTCCACAAAAAAAAAAAAATAAATTACTAACACATTATCACATAGAGGGAATTAATAACTTTACAAAAATATATATATATTAATATGCGTAGAATACATTTTGTGATATAAAGCACTGCTGGACACTTTACTTATTAATATTATCTGTTTTGATTATTTTAATAGATAGTTTAATGAAATAGCTATTAGAAAATATATTGTTACTTTTGTTATTAAATATAGCTTTACTATTGATCTAACATACTACGTTTCAATGCCTCTTCCAAATCATCATGGAATGTCTCCGGCTTTGAATAATCGGATGCAAATTTATCAGGTAATTTAGCACCATTCCCGTCGATTATATTAGATTTTGTTGAGGTATTTAATGTCTTAGTCAAAGTTGTTTCATTTTGTAATTTTGTTAATTTAAACAATGACTGATCTTTAATAGGATCAACTTTAGCTAAATCCTGTGTAGTGGTAGCACTTTTGAAATTTTTGGAGTTATTAAGTGCATTATCGAAATAGGTTGGAAATTTTGTGTCCGTATTAAAAGCATCGAAAGAAGCAAAATTATCATTTATTGTTGCTGTTTGATTGATAATATCATTATTATTTGTATTTAAATGATCGAAATTAAAATTGAGTTTATCATCCTTTGTATTTTTAATTTTTGAAAAGTCATCTTCAAATAAATTTTTATTGAAATCATCAAATATTGTGACAGGAGATTTTGCAGTAGTTTTATTTATGATTTTACTATCAGTGTTTTCTGATGATATGTTTATATCTTTATTAGAATTTATTGAAAATGGATCGAACGGACTACCTATGTTTTTCGCACACTCAAAAGCACTTGCATTTACATCACCAAACGGATCTACGAATTTATTAGAACTTTTCATTTTTGTACTAGCATCAGCTGTTTTGGTATTAAATGTACTAAAGAAAGGATCATTAAAATCGATACTATCCATATTATTACTATTGTTGTTCGTTCCACTAACAATAGTATTTAATGGTGCATATTTATCGTTGCTATTTTTCATTGTTGAGTTCGCGGCAAAAGCATCGAAATCTGCAAAATTATCAAAAGCATCACTGCTACTGGTAACAACTGGTGCAGGTGTACTGCGTTGGGATTTCGCATTATCACTGAGTGGACTGCTTTCTCCGGTAGTGCATACATTTGTACTACTACTCCTAACGTTCAGATTTGTAACCAAATTTGATCCGAGTGTATTGTTATTTGTGGGTTCTGGACTACTATTCATACTAAAGGCATTCACTTTCGATGCTATATCATTGAGTGGTGAATACCTTTTAGCATTTGAAATATTTGGTTCTAGGTGATTATTCGAGGTGTTAGTTTTAATTTCATCATCTGAAAAAAATTAAATTAATTAATTAAAAAAATATATTAATTGCATAGTTTTATATTACAAGTATAAAAAACATGATTTAATTATAATAAATTTTTTTAAATCGAACTCGTTTTTTAATAATTTTTTTTATATATCATATATACAGTTACAGATCATCTTTTTTTTTTCAAATTAAACGTTTGTTCAATATTTTTTAATATATTCTATATATCGACTCTCCTTGAGTGTTATCATCAAGATCAGGATGTCATGTTTTTGGTTCCGCTGTGCAATATAGAAAACGCAACCAAAAACATGACATTCTGATCCTGATGATGACTCTCAAGAAGAATCGAAATATGAAATATATTAAAAAATATTAAACAACCGTTTAATTAAATATTAAAGCACAAAGTAAGAGTTTTATACATGAAAAATATGAACAAAATCTCAGCTGACAATCAAAAGATCTGATCAATAGCAAATCTTTCATTTGATCTTTAGAAAGAGTGAAAAGATCTTTCAAATGATCTTTTGCAAGATTTTTGAGTATGGTTACCCAAAAGATCAGTTTCATTGCTTTATCGAATTAATTTAGTATTATTTTCAATTTAGTTTAACTCACACACCGTCTAATCCATATATGTGTTAATAAATTTAAAACTTACCGTCTGAGCTCAAGTCATCCTTAAACAGTTTATCAGTATTTTCACAGTTCAGTTCATTATTCTCCTGATCATCGAACGGATCCTTTATATTGAAAGGATCTTCGTATCGATAATCTTTGAAAGGATCATCCTTGAAATCCGTAGGTCCTGTTATGACAGCAGTCACAGCAGTAGCACCATCATTTTTCTTTGCATTTAGAGTATTCGTTGAGCCTGTTATTGTTGGGAAATCGCTTGCAGCCAGCTGCAGTGGTGTTATGGCACGCTTTGTTGGGTTATTGGAAATTGCATTTGTTGTTAATGTGTCAGAATTGCTTTCAAATGTCAGTGGTGATGATGTGGAACTTAAAAATGTGTTTGTGGTATTGTTTTCAAAAAATGCAAAATCTTTGCTAAGCGTGGTCGTCGTCTTGGATGTCAAAAATGCATTTGATAAATTTGAAGAATTTGTTTGTGTTGATGGAATGCTTGATATCTATTACGTATATATATGTGGATGGTTTTTGTTTTTTGTTTTTTGTTTTTGTTGATGTTTGCAAATTATGAAATGGTGTATAAAAAATTTATGAGAAAAAAAATTAAATAAAAAAAGAAACAAAATTATATATAAATATAATTAAAAAAGAATTACTAAATTATTATAATTTTTAATAAAAAAACAAAAATCAGAGTAATTGAAAAACAAGAATAAAGCAACAAAATTGATGTTACATAAAATGTACAAAAAATTATTTAAAACCCAAGTGAAATTTATTTTTAAGATAATTTTACCAAGCAGGGATGCACCAAATTAACTAAACCATTTTTTAATTAATATAAAAATTATTAAATTTTAATTTAAATTAATTTTTTACTTGTTAGCCAGAAAAGCACGCCAATCTATGTTAGTCAGATAGTATATAGGTACTTATAAAAAATTAGTAAGTAAAAAAATGTTTAGCAATTTTATATTATAATTCGACATTTATTGAATCCAAGTTAGTTTTTTGTTATATATATTTTCGTATAATTAAATTACTGTTCATAAGTTTCGTAATCATAAACATTGTTCAATGTAAAGAGAATCGAATTCACGAATTTAGTGGATCAAGTAAAACGAAATGCATTAAGCATAAATAATACGAAAAGCCATTGAAACGGTGACTACATATATATATATATTTTGCTAGCTTTTTTGAAGTGCACGTCATGGCCACTAAGTCAAATGTGATCTAAAGCAGTTCTATTCTTGATCAACTAAAATATGAATTTTCTCTACTGCGGCTACAGTTCAATACTTCAATAAACACTTTTTTCATTTTACGCTTAAAGTGTCATTATACAGTGTAAGTAATACAATACATACATAAATATATATATATTTCAATACATTAAATATAAATTGTATAATTATTGTATTTGTCAGTTGAATGATAATAATGAAAGGGAAATAATTAGACTACAGTTTAGCACACTATGATTACTTAAATCGTTACTCTTGATATTAATGTGACTTCTTAAGGACAATAATAACAACAAGTCAAAAAAAATATGATCTGATATACATAAAGTTTATGTGATATAAGGCATATATCGTAAATTAGTTAAGTCACGCAATATTATAGTTGCATAAATGAAAGATATATATACTGAAAACTGTGACTATAACATCAACATAAAGTCATAAGCTATGTAATTCTTTTTAAACCAGGTCTTTGAACCGGAAAATTTTTTATTTCAATTGAGTTTAATTCAAAAAAAAAAGACGAATTTAATTTCTGGGACACACCGATTTAAAAAAGGTTTTTATTAGAGTCAACTATTTTGAGCTATATGTCCACTTTAGCTTACTTTGCAATATATAGAGGTTTGAATATATAAACTTTTTAAATTGTTTTCTAGTATCAATTTAGTAATCTAATACCAACTAGTATATGCAATTTTTACAATGATTACACAAACGATTTGTAACTAACAAATAAAAACGTCAGATGGCACTGTCTTACCAAAACTCGTTGTGAAATGGAATTATCCGGTAAAATGAAATAATACTAAAAAATTTGATCTGCGGTTCAGTTCAGAGAGAATATTTTTTATCTATTAGTATTACAAATGTTCGTATCGTAATCATTAAAATCATTAATTCTTTTGAACTAATAAGGTATTAGGTTTAAGTTTATAAGTAAAAACTAATTATGAACTTTGAACTGCTTTTTCATTTCATATAAAGTACTGAAAAGAAAGCTGGTAAAGTACATAAGCTGGTATTGATCAGATCAGTTCATCGTTTCAGTTCTGATTTGTACTTCAGAAACCATTTCTTTTCTTTTCAGATAACAGTTTAGTTCAAGCTCGAAGTACTGTATTATATACCCTTTTCTTTAAGAAGAGTACTAAAAGTGGATTCTTTACGATGTACAATCTCTACAAACTGGGATATGATAGAGTACTAATATTTATAATATCAATTACAGTTTTAATAATATGTATATTAAAAAAAAATTTAAATTAATGAAAATCAAACTAAACAAGCTTGTATTATATTGTGCTAAACTTATAGTTGAGTATTTAACATATTAACATATTTTTTGAAACAAATTAATTTATATTAATTATGTGTTTATATTATTAATAATTTATATTATTATGTATATGCAAGTATATATAAATATGTATAGGGTAAGTCACATTCATAATATTAATTTTATATTAAATAATAGCGATGGTTACTTTATATTAACAAACACTTAATAGTTAAGATACGTGAACGGGCATAAATATATAAAATCTCAATAATAGTAATAATAATAATAATAGTTAATATTAATAATAAGTTAATGATATTTATAAATTTCAATTAATTTATTAAAATTTAGCTAATTTTGTGTCTCAGTATGTCTGCTAAGTTGACTAACAACATTATGATATATTAGAATTTAGTTAAATGTGTCAATGCAATTTTTGGTTGTTTTGATATTTGTTAAGAAAAACACTTAAATTTAAATTATTTTATTATATACTATTTATATATATATGAAATTGATTTTATACGATGTTCACTGAAAATAGAATTCCAAAAATGAAAGCTCACTGTTAGTTTTGCATATATGCATATTTTTAATTTTAAAGAAATCAAAAGTGAGTCTTTTAATATTTTAAGTACAAAGGAAATATAAGGAGAAAACAAAATTTATTTTTGATTCAATACTGAAATTATCAATTTTATATGAAATATATGTGAACCAAAGAAATCTTAAGAATAAACTTTATAAACAAATTAACTCAAACATACCAAAAACAAACCAAGTATAAATAAATCAAATATAATAACCCTACTACAGAAAGAAAAAAAGAAATATTAAATATATATATATAAATATATTTTTTTTTAAATAATTTTAAAATATATATATACTACAAACAAGGATAACAGAAGAAATTTAAAATTTCAAAATAAATTAATATATATAAATTAAAACAATTTATGTTAAGCAATCAAATTACAAGCAATAAAAGAAAGTATTGAATGCGGTGCACATGCATTTACCACCGATCCCAACGAACTGTAAAAGTAGTACCAACCTTATTGTCGAAATCGTCAAAATCAGCAAATCCCCCACTTGTCGAAGTTGAACCGAATGCATCCATAGTAGGTTGAGTTGTACGTACTGGTCCCTTTAACAAGAAAAATTTTCAAGTGTGATTATTTAACGTTTTTAATTTAAATAAAATCTTAATCTATTTATATTGTATAAATATTTATCAGATATTTTTTAAAGACTATTAAACAACAACATTAAAATTATTTTATTTAATATACTTTTTAATACATCAATTTTGAACGAAAATAATCATTAAGGCTACTACAGATTTACTAAATTTGGGATTCCAAAAATAAACGTAAATAAAACATAACTGAAAAAACTTTTCAAGGAACAATGGTACATTAGGACGAATGACATCCTCAAGGACCTCAAGATTGATCCGGTCAAAAAATACATAAACGAGAGAGCCCTGAAATTATTTACGTAAACTGGCAGACTTGCCAACACCGCGTTATCAAATCTTAGAATAGTTACAGGCTACTCGAAAAGGTATGCAGATCTAAATCTAATGATAGTGTAATTAAGAAATAAACAATAATCCAGTCAAGGCGTAGAGAGGGATTATGAAAAACCTCGCAGTTAATAGAGAGTAAAAGTGCTCAAGTTCACTAACTCAACTAGCCTCAACATAATAAAATATAACTTGTATTTGAGATTTCGATCAAATTTTTATGTTAATATAATGTTTGGGCCTTGACATTAGGTGTAAAATACAATATAGTCATATCACATCCACGGAATATCGTACAGAACTCAATTCTTTCTAAATAATTTTCAATGACTTGTCGACACATAACCCAGTCATGATTCAGCGGATGTTCTTTTTTAAAGCGTCGAAGGTAACCACTACCAAAAAGTCAGTGGTAACAAAGCACATTGTCATGGTAGCTAAACCACGTCACCAAAATGCAAACTTACACGACCGAAAAAATTCTCGCACAACAAAACTAAAACAGTATATGTTCTTTAGGTTTTAGCACTATACTGTTGAACCGTTCACCTTCAAGTCTATGTCTTCAATTAAAATAATGATCATGTAGGATAGTTTGTATTCTCCCTTCGTTATTTTGAAAAAGTACAAATCTAGCAGACTATCTATTACTTTTTGTGAATGCAGTTGTCTTTTGACATTTGCTTCATCATTAAACGATTGATACGAAAAATCATACATACTTTCATAGCAGCTTTTTACAATCTTAGCATGCTCAGCGTTTGTTAAACGATCTAATATATGAAACGGCAAATCTAAAGCTAAATATAAAATGATTTTGATAACACATATCATTAAAGCAGTGCTGCTAAATCAGGACTCTGAATTAGAAACTCCTTATTGTTAATTATATATTAGTTAACTATATATATTTATAAATGCATTAGAATATATTTAAAGAGTATTCGATTGAGTTTCTTACAAAGCTTTTCAATATATAGTTGCGACGACTCGATATCTTTAATCTCTGATGATAGAAACAAACTTTCAACGTTAAGAATCAATTTACTGTAGTCTTTAAATAATTGGGAATATTGACTAGATACCTTCAACACTTTTTTATTTCTACGTAACTTTGGAATGAATAACTTCAATTTAATATTATTTGTTATCTTGCAACTGTTTTGAGGTACAACTCCTCAGTGTCAAGTTTATGATACACTTCAAAACTCATTTTTTTTTCATCTTTATCCCGTTTTTCTAATCAGGTTAAGAAAATTCCGAAAAAGCAAACATTTTTCGGAATAACTCTATATATGGGGTGGAAACTGTTCTAACGGACACCCAACGTAAACAGAAATCTCTCTTAAATGATTTATCTTTCTAAAACTAATTTTTTTATCATTCGCCTTTTACATTTACTTAGACTTGAATTAACAAAAATTGGGTAACATCAAGTATTTTCTCAATAGTTTTTTCAATGTATATCTATATAATATTTCCCATATTTTCCTATAAACATTTATTAATACAATACATACCTGTACTGGACGAGGCGGTGCTGGTCGCGGTGGTGGTACTTTTGATTTTTTAGGTGGCAAGGCTGGACTTGGTGACTCTGGTCTTGGTGGTGGTCCTGATTTTTGTGTATTTGGACTTAGGACTTGTCCTTGACCAGTAGGTGCATGTAAAGCCGCAAATGGATCGCTACCAAAATCATCCTTTCCCGGCTTTAAAATAACATTTTTAAATTAATCAATAAATATTATTTATGAATATTAAAACATACCTCTGGGGTTATTGCTGTATTTGTTTTATTAGCACCAAATGCATCACCACCAAATGGATCTGATTGCTGTCCAAATGAACCCACATTACTGCCAAAAGCATCAAAACCACTATCAAATCCAGTTGTGGCACTAAAACTATCATCAAAACCAGTTCGTATAGGGTTAGTAACATTTGTACCAGCGAATGGATCATTTTCGAAACCATTACTAACGAAACCAGTATTATTTATATTAGTATTAGTAGATGTTTTATTATCATCGAAAGGATCAGATTTTGGTTCTTCAATCTTTTTCTCCAAAGTTCTTTTCGCATCATCAAAGTCTGGTTCAATTTTTAATTGATACTCAGTTACTAACTCAGCTTCTTGATTTTCAATAGCTGCACGACACATCAATAAAGCATCCGTCATTTGTCGCTGTATCTCTAATAGCTCTGTTACAACAGAGCGCACCTAAAAGTAAAGGTCAATAATGTTTATTTCCTAATTTCCGCAAAATTATTGAAGAAGGGTTAATCTATTCTATTCAATCTTTTCAAAGAAGGGGTCATACATATTAGATATGGAAAATTACTTTCATATTTTCTGTCTGCCATTAACAATAAATATTATCGCCTCACAACCAATATGACAGAAGCTATCAATGACAGTCTAGAGATATTACTTCTATTTCTGCTTATCAACGAAAGTAATCTTTGCTTAATTCTGCATTTACATGTAGGTAATTAGTTTTGTATTTTTTTATACATTATCATATCTAATAATAAAATCACGTATCTACTAGCTACCAATTCATAATTGATTGCTATTACATTTATATAAATATATACAAAAATTGCAATCAAATATATGACTAATTTGAAGTTAAGGGAATTAAGGGAATTATAGAAATGTGATTAAATTTCTTGTATAAACTGATAAAAAAAATTTTAATAGCTTGGGCGTATATATTCTAAATTTACCTATTTGTTTATTAAACTATGAAATTCTATTATAAAAAGTTGGTATTTTTTAACAATTTATAAGAAATTATATCGCTGGAGAAATTATTATTAAACTCTATCTTTGCTAAATTCCCTATATGTCTATACAAAGTGGCTTACCGAACTTATTTGTAATTGCGTATCCTGCAAGTGCTTGGAAATTTTTTGTAGTTCCCGATTTTTCTCATCATATTCCTTTTGTAGTGCCGTTTCTTCATCCTTCAGTTTTTGTAATTCTGAGCGCTTCGAATTTAGTTCACCTTCCTGTTCATTTATGGTCTCTTCTTGTTTCTGACATTGTTCACGTATTTTATTAACCTGTGAAATAGGAAATACGGAGTAACCAGAATTATTTTCCATTTAATTACACTTCTATTAAAAACAGAAAGTTATGAGAAAATTAGAAAATGAGAAAAATGTTTATTCCAAACTTAGAAATACCATGCTTATAGACAAAACATATTAATATTTACAATTTTGAGTTTTTGTTTTTCCTTAAAATAATAACAAAAGTTAAGAACAGAACATAAATAGATCAATTAAAAACCCACAAACCTGATAAAGCACATCAGTTATATTTGAATTCAAATTAACCTTTTCAGCTTGATTTTCAACACTCTTTTGAAAAGTGTATCATATTTAAAATATATATTTTTATCCAAATAATAATGGTTAAAAGCATTTGAAGAGGAAGAGGAACGCAGCGCAAAATTTTATTTTATCAATCCAATTTTAAAGCGCAGGAAAAGAAAATAGGATATATAAAAAATTAAATAAATAATATATAAAAAAAATTATAAAATATATTTACAAAATAAATCAAAATAAAATAATTAATATAAAAATTCCAATTAAATATTAATGCAAAATCAACAATTTAACTTTAATGCCGAAAAGAAATAAAAATATTGCAACAATATGTACATGTGTCAGACTAAAAGGAACCAGAATATTCTTAATCGAGACTAAACCAGTGATGGCAAACCTTTTTATAAACACTTTGCATTTGTAGAACGTGTGCTATAGGTTTACCATCTCTGTTCTTAGCTATAACGTTTAGTTTTGGGAAACGTAACTCATATATTTATTATTATACATTTATTATTATATTTATTAATATATGTTTATTATTATGGATTTATTATTATATATTTATAATTATATATTTATTATTGTATATTTATTATTGTATATTTATTATAAACATTTAAAAATTAATTAATTAAATTATTTATTGTTTTAATGAATAAAATAATAATCATTTTGTTTTTGAAACGGTTAATCAGCCCGTTAACATTTGTAAAAAAAAATAAGTTTTTAAATAAATTTTTATTTACACTAATATATCAATATAATTAATGTTAAATTATTGCTACATTATAAGAACCATTTATTAGTACCCTGAAGATAACTATAGAATATAGTCGAAATATTAGTGCAAATAAAAAAAATTTTTTAAAACTAAATTTTTTAAAAAAAGTTTATTATTTAACAATTGTCCAATTAGCCCTTAATAAAAAAAAATTATTATTAATAAAATTATAATATAACAATATAGTAATATATGAATATTATACTCAAAAAAAATAAAATAATAATCAGAATATTAATTTTCATATAGTACAAAAGTTGCAGAATATTCTGGTACGTTTTAGTTAATATATATTATACAATAGCATATACAGACGCATATTTATAAATATATACCACATTAGTGTAGTTTTTATACAATATTTTATTTAAAGTAAGCAAAATTTGATTTCCACTCACTTGCGCTTTAAGATCATCCAAACGCTTTTGTGCCTCACCACGCTGATTTTCTAATTGTTTTAATGTTGCAGTTAAAGTGTCTAACTCGCTCTATACCAAATAAAATAAAACCGAACTCAATTAATATATATAAGAAAGTATTTAAAAACAAACCTGTAAACTGCGCACTTCGCCGGATTTTATACGTATATCCGCCTCTTTTTGTGCAGTTTCTGTTTCGAGTGCGTGACGTTCTTTTGCTAACTCTTCGATTTCTTTGGATATCATTTCCAGTTCGGGATTGGTATATGTAGGTTTAGGCTCCTGGAAAAAAAACAAAAAACCCAGATTTTTTAATTATATTAAAAACAGTTTTAGAGAAAATGTATTACATACCAACTGTGGTTGTACATCAACACCAGACACAATTGCACGCATAGATGGTGGCACCATAGCTGCTGTCAAAACTTGTGGAGGATCTATACCATTCTGTTTACGTTCCACCATCCACATTGCTAAGCCAAACTGTTCTAATGTTAGCTTGCCAGAGACATTTGTATCACAAAGAGCCCTGTTAAAGAATATATAAAAGAGTAATAAAATAAAATATGAAGAATGTAATTATACAAATACTTATATATAGTAAATAATAATAAAATCAAAATATATTATAAATAAGTACATTGGTGTTTACATACAACTGGGATTAAAATAAAATACTGTTTGCTTGAAACCCATCATAGATGGGTGTAGATCTGCTGGTATCTCTTACTAAAGGGTGAGCGATGTTTGGACATCGTAATCAGTTAGTGGCTTCCAGATACCAATTTAGAATCAGCTCTTGTTCATAATACTTCTCTCTCACATACTTCTCTCTTCTTTACCCAACCATACCATAAACCAATTATATTCATACTTAAAATTTCTTATGTGTTATCTGATATATAGATTTTCACGGGCTACAACGAGAATAGTGGCATCGCGACATAGACCTGAGCTTTTTGGATTCATAAAGCCAGATACAGTAGAAATATTTAAATTGAAATTCTGCAGTACTGCACTTTTATAGTAGTACAATAGCACTACAATGAGTGTCGTCATCTAATCTAGTCTGTCTTCTATCAACAATATATCAAAGAAATGTTTGCTGTGGAGCTTACATAATTGAGGTTGAATATAAACGAGTTTTAACAGTCCTCCATATATCTGCAGTGTTTTCTGCAAGCCCACGTTTGCACAGCAATAAAATTCACAACAGTTCTCTACTGAAAGAACTTCTCATTCAGCAAAACAATCGCAGCGCAAAGTATACTCAGAGGTCAGAGTATAGTCATATGCTAAGCAGTCAGTTATCACGGAACTGATTCTTTATGACCTCGCCCAATTATTCTCATGCCGTAATGCACACACTAATTTTATTAATCTTATTAATCTATGTCGTCAGGTTTCAATTAACACCCATCCACTCATTTCTTACTTATTCTCATTTCTTACTTATTCTAAGCAACTCTTTTTCATCTATTCTACCCTTATCTAACCCGTTTCATAGCTGGCTCTTCATGTTGCCTGCTTTATATATTTCCATCGAAACATTTTAAAGTATAATTATCTGTTCAGTTGAAGATCCAATATCATTCTAGAATACAAATTGCTAGCCCAATTATGCAAGCAAGAGTTGCTAGCCCGAAACTACAATATACAGTGAATTTCTGCTCCAAATTTTAACCATGTAAATCAATAAATCTATATAGATACTTAGCAAAGCTTGAGTAAAAATAATATCGTATATAATGTCGTATATAATGAACTACTATTTTCTGATCGATCGATGAAAATAAATCTCCGTAGCTAGCAATTAATCAACTTGAAACTAGAGATATGATATATGATATAACAGCGTTATACCGATAGGTCACATATATGTAAAAAAAACCCTGAAGAAATTAAGATAGTTTAGTTTAGGTAATTTGATGCAGTCGTGACATTACAAAGAGAAACCGAGTAAACAATTATATATAAATTAATATATATAATAAACATTTAAATTAGTACTTGGGGTCAAAATTATATTAAATTTTTTTTTGTAAAAAAATACTTCTTAAACATTATTATTTTTATCTGTCACATATCACATATAATGATGACATAAAGTGATATTTTTGTCAAATATAGTGACAAAAATATATTTTAAGTTTATCTAAATATACAAAACTATATATAATAAAATACACATATTTAATGTGTTATCTACTTATTAATAAGATCAGTCTATTAATATTTGAACTAAGTGGATTTATCTAAAAATGAATCATAAAAAAAATTATTTTTAGAAGAGACCTTAAAGATTAATCGGAATAACCGACAACTATAGTCCACATCTTGTTATATTATAAGCTCAAAGACTGAAAGATTGGGACTAAAAACAAAAACGGAAGCAGAAAACATATTAAGAGAGTGATATATGGAATATACATATGGTATATCATGTATGAAAAATATATGATATATATTATATATGGATAATGATAATGATAATATTTATCATATATGGAATATGTAATATATGTGTACACATATAGGATATATGGAAAGATACCAGTGAAGTAATCAAATGTCAAAGCCACAAAGAATTATTTCTTTCCCTTTCCCTTATAGTCAAATATGCTTACCATATATGCGCTAATAAATTTTGTGGTACCCCAGACTGCAGAAATATGTTCTTCACTTCAATGCCAGAAACAAGTCCATCTTTATCACGATCCGAATCTCGAAACATAACTTCGTATCGTTTTAGTTCACTTGGTGTTACAACCCAATCCACATTGGCAGTTACTGATGGCGGTGCGCCAATAGGTATTAAAGGATCTGTTGATATTAGTGGCTGAGGGCCACCGACTGGCGGAACACGTGTCATTGGTGGTATGGCAGCTGGTATTGTTGGTATTGCTGGTGGTGGTGCAATATCTTTTGGAAAATTAGCAACGAAACCACCATCACCAAATCCTTCACCGCTAGGTGCACGAGGTACCGCTGCATTCGCTGGTGGTGCTGGTTTTGGTGGCGGCACTCCACCACCAGCAGGTTTACGTAATTCTCGTGGTAACATATCAGGCACTGTACGTTTATCCAAAGTTTGATAAATGAGATGCATTGCTACAATGAACTCATGTTTGTCTAAATTGCCATCTTTATCCTGATCTGCAAGATCCCATATCTTGCCTAATGTGTCCATTGGTAATTTTGAATCCATTAAAACTCCTTTAACTTTATTTCCAGGCAGCATACCATTTACTGGTTTCAGTGATTCGAAAAGTTGCTCGTATTTCAAGCGGTCAATGACACTTATCGACCAGTCACCGTTCGCTACTCCGCCACTAGAAACGGGCACTGTTTGTATGCGAGGCGGCATGATTTTCGGTAGATCACCCTGAGAAATAAATTTAATAAATTAAAAAACTTTGCTTCTAATTTTTTCATAACAAAATTGTAAAATTAATTTCGCTTCATGCCTTAACTAGCTGTGAACATTTAATTAATAGCCTTGAAATTCAAATAAAATTGTATATACATTTTTTGCACTAAATATGGAGTTAATAGACGGCTTTAATTGCAATCGCTTTCGTCGTAGTTGTAAAATGTGCGAGTGCGATTGAATAGTTAAATTAGATAATATTTAAAAAAATATAAACAAATTAATAATTACTGAAATCTACAGAATAGTTGTTTGAATTTTATACCCCCGCCCCACCAACACTAATTGTGTAATCACGAGTCGTTTGAACTTACCACTTTTGGTGGATTTGTTGTGTCCATATAAATATTGCTCATATTGATCACTTGTCCACTTTGTGCCAAGGATACTAATTTCAGTGCTACAAAAAATCCAGGTTTGTCTAAAAAACCTTTTCCATTCGGATCTGATAAATCCCATACTCGACTCAACACTACATCGCTAAGACCAGACTTTTTTAAAAATTTCGCTGCAGTCATCGCCTCAATTGCTCCTGACCCTTTTGGGTCAATCTAAATAGAATAGTTGTTTCAATAGTTGTTGTAATGTCTGTGTTTGCGATGAATTTATTTTAGACACAAATCGCGTAATTTACCTGTTTATAATATGCTTCATATATCATACTGTGTTTACCACAGACTTTCGCAAAATCTAAATTCATTTTAATTATTTATTTTGTGCCCTTTTCAATTAATTTTGTTCCGAATTTTCCAATTGAAAAGATGTTATTCGAAAAATTCTTATCAGAAAATCGATAAACAGCGAAATTCTAAATGGTATTGATTTAACCACACTATGTTGGGTGCGTGGTGAACTTCCTTAACGCTTGCTTTTTATTTGGTTGACACCCTCTATTTTTGCTCACATTAATTATAATTTATATTGACTTATAATTTTCACTAGTTTCCATAACTTAATTAAACAATTAATTAATAACCACACTCATTAATTTTGTTCTTATTTTTTTCCCAAAGTTTTTATTTTTTACTAAGCAATTTTGACAAAATATAACTACAAACACCTATCATGTTCGAATTGCAATATGTCAAACTTACGAAGTGATTACTGACATACAAACCCGATGCAAAAATAAATGTAATGGTGTGCAACTCTATGTCTTAATGTACGCTGTAATTTTTTTAATATAGTTATGTAAATTTAACACGTCACATTAATGATTTTTAATATTTGTATAGTTATAAATGGAGATTTCAAAAATCCATAATTTATAATAATTTAATTTACTGCAAGTAGCTCGTGTAAGCACCTAATATATTAATGAAAAAAATATGATATATCGAAATACTTCTCCATTATGTAGGCGCAGCTAATTTATTTAAAAATGAAATTCTTTCTACTTTTGTCACCAATATTACTTCTGTGTCAAAGGAAAATATTATATCATTTTAATTTGGATCGTTCTAAATACATTAGTGTGATCGATTTTCTGATCATTTCTAGAAGGATACTCCTTATTATACTCCTTATTATTTTACTTATTTAAATTAATGCGACGACAACATTCGAGTATAAAACAGGCACATAAGAAGTATTTAAGATGTCTGTGCATCGTTGCATGTGCATAATTATTTAAGTTTACAAAAATAATTCCCTTTTTTATAATTCTGCACTTCATTTGCAAGACAATGTTCAAGACAATATTTTCAACACTAATTATATCTTGCATATTTGATTTTCAAGATTCTATTGTGAATGATACTACTTTTTTTACTATTCGCCGGGCAATACTTTAGCCAAACTGTTAAGTTTTGTTTGATTTTGTAATTATATGCAATTGTTTGATTTTGTATTTATTTTACGTCCAACAATTATTTTAAATAAATAAATACGAAAACAAAAATCAGCTGTTCTAAACTGTATTCAGAATTATTTGAGTTTGCAATGATGCACATTCAATGATGCACAGATATACTGAATACCCCTATAAATTTTTTTTATATACTAAATAATGTCACAGAAATTGTAAATTTGTTTCTAAAAGATACATATGTTAAGAAGGCACACATAGTCTTGAAACTCATGGACAAATGTGAATCGATATATTCTTTTTTCTCTCCCTCTAATTTTATAATTTGCATTAAAAACAATAACAATTTTGCTCATAACGAGCCCATGGCACTTTATCTTACATGTCTATTAATCACTAATGTATTATTGCATTGAAAATAGGCGTTTTCGGTGGGTCGAAAGTGTGGCAAAATACAGAAGTTGCTGGCCTATACTTTACGCAAAACAACACTATTTTCTGTATCTAGGTCAGTATAGGTATACTGGCCACTTATTTCAGCCAATAAAGAAAAAAATGTTACCTACACAATAAGCGAACTATTGTGAACCTTTATTGGAAATTCCAACGAATACTGCAGTCATATGTTTAAAATTATATGTAAACAATAATTCAAACAAAATTCAAAAATTTCATTAATTTGAATATTGGGAAAAAGGTAAAATTTCAGTGTTTTATTTCGAAGTTTTACACATTCTTACAAAATCTTAAAATTCTGTACTCAATTTAATATTCAATTTTTTATTAACGCTAAAATGCCTTCTATTAAAAATAATATTAATAATTTAATACTACGTATATATCCAAAGAAAATAATATGTTTCCAATACAAACTTAGTAAAAGTACTTATTAAATAAATTTCGTTATCCGTACAATAAGTTTCCGTGCTTTTTAACTTACTTAAAAATAAAGTAAGGAAAATTAAACCAAAAATGTCGAATACAACCATTAAAAATAAATTTCCCAAAAGGAAAATATTAAAAAGGCTTTTGTTTGTTTAAAAAAACAACTTTATAATATATCAACAAGCAATTAAATATATAATTGATATAGTCAATTTGATGTATATATATTATATATCCATTACAAATTCAATTTAAAAAAAAACAAAGATTTCAATAAATTCTTTATAATTGTTTCAAATTTTGGTAGTTTCTCTTGTGGGAAATATATTTTTAAGTGTTTCATTCAACATTCTTCGTCTTAAATGAGCTGATTTTCTTTTATAGTAGCAAAAAAATACTCGCAACAGCAATGCTCTTAAAATCCTCAGAGTTAGGTTTGACTCGGAAAAAATTTAAGACTCTCGTTTTAATGCGGCCAAATCTAAAAATCAGTTTATTGTGAATGTTCACTGAAAATAACAGAACAGCACAACAAAAAGCTCTGAAAGAAAAAATGTCTGTGCTCTGCACTACTACACATAAGCATTGTATACGTTTACACAAAATAAAACATATTTCACGCTCATGAGAGTTCATGATAGTGTAAACTGAACTGACAGTTCATGTTGTCGTCAATTTCATCTCACGTTCCTGATAGTGTAAATCGGCCCATACACATAATTCTATTTCGTTTGTAAACGATATTCAAAAACAATACGTATTTGCATTTTTATATGCAAACAAAATTTAAAAATATACATACTTGGATTCGAATAGCCAATGAAGACACCTTGATAAGTAAATGTAATAAAAAAACATTTTTAATGTGCTAAATGCAACAGTGGTATGATATTGAGTTGTGGAGTTGGCATCACTGAAATGTTGTGCGAATAAGTGGCAGCTTCAACTCCAAAGCGTTTGTTTTTTATCTTACATGCATTTTGTTAGTTTTCGGTTTTTGCATTATTAAATTCTACATTTATTAACAAAGCCTATATTAATACTATTTATACCCTAAAGTTCTCTAACTTAATGCAAGTGTGAAAAAATGTCCGACGATATTGAAATAATTGATATAGATGAAATAACAGAAACGCCTGCAATGCCGGTTGCAGAATCGATAACCGAACCAGCGCAAAACAAGGAAAAACTTGGAAGTAAAAATTCTGAAAATATTAATGAAAATGAAACTGTTGATGCAAAAAATAAAACAAATGAACAGATTTCAAATAGTGCAGATGAAAAAATAGAAGAGGATAATGTTGATAATGACAATTCTGCAAATGCAAAGAGCGCACAACCAGCTACTGAAAAAGACCAAAACACTTCTAATGCAATTGTGGAAAAAAATGCAAAAGAAAGTGCATTAAATATTTCAGCTGATAGTCAAGAAAGCACAGGCTTGGTTATTGATGAAGACGACACTAAAAGCACAGACAAACAGAAGGATGAAGACGAAGATGTTGAAAAATGTATTGATGATGCTGTAGAACGTGACGATAATGTTGTTGAACCAACTAAAGATGAAGCGCAAAGCAAGGATGATGAATTAAAACACAATGCTGATGTTATAGAACATACCGGTGATGTCATGCAAAACATTGATGAGAGCACTAAAGATGCTGAAGCAATTGACAATGAAAGCACAAGCGACAATAATGTAGAACGTTCCGACGCTGTGACAGCTGTGGTAAATTCGGACAGCGTTAGCAATAACCAAAAGAACTTGGAAAAGAGTGAGGAAAAAGGTTCTTGTGAAGATATTAGTGAAGTGTCTGTTGTAACACAGATAGATATTGGTGAAGTGGAAAAGAATAATAGTGTAAAATCTGGTGAAAATTATGTGGAGTCTGTAAACACTCAAACTTCCGAAACATCGGCTTCTATTATAGAAATTAATGATGATAGTGATGAGGAGATGCGTACGGAAGTAAACACAAACGCAGACAACAAAACTGACGATTCATTAAGTGAAGAAAAATCAAAAGTCGATTTAAATAAAAACAACGAAATAAAAGTTGGTGACAATGTAATAGATTTGGGCACTGACAAGACTGAGGCTGTAACACAGAAGGACGAAAAAACGGATTCTTTAATAAATGAAGAACCAAAAATTAATTCTGCATTAGAGAAAATGTCTAAATCACCTACACCTGAGAAGGAGGACGCTAGCTGTCCTGAAAACGGTGATGAAATTTTTTATAATAAACAGTGTGTCAACTATGAGTGTCCAAAAAAACATAAACAATTTGTATTGGCTCCAGTGTTAGTACTTAATTCTTACAAAATTACGAAGAGGAAGCGTCAAAAGGAATTTGTTTGCATTGATTGCTACGATAAAGCTATAGAAGCTTATGAAGTGAGTATTGCTAAAAATATTGTTCTTGAAGGTAAAACTAATTTAACTCAGATATATTACTATTAAAAGAGTAGTTACCTTTTACACACTGAGCAGATGATGTACTTAAGTGACCACTACAGACGTAAGTTGTTTCTGACCGTTTTCGGCAACTTTCAACAGTCGCTGACTCGAAAAAATTATCAACATACATGCGTACATACTATTAAAAGAGTGATTACCTTTTACACACACTGACCATATGATGTATTTACTTAAGTGACCGCTACGAACGTTAATTGTTTCTGAACATGTTCGGCAACTTCCAACAGTCAACATGATCAGTGAGTTGGATTGATGTCGCCCATTAGTAGTACTGTATGTCTTTAAACCATAAGTCACCTGGTTCTGAGAATGTGCGTCATAGGTGGTGCATACTTCACTTTAATCCAATTAAAAAAACTAATTTAATAATTTTAAATCGTTTTTCTGTTCGTTATACAAAATTTTGTAAAAACTTCGTTATAATCAGCTAAGTTTTGATAGGTTTCTCAGCCTAAATCAATTACAACCCAAAAAAAAGTCACTGATTTTTCAATTAAATAATCTTTTATTACCTACAACCTCTTAAAGATGAAATAGAAGGATATTGACATTTGCAGATGGAAAATTTAAATTTAAATTTAAAAAATTAAAAATTTAAATTTTCCATCTGCAATTACATGATGAATTTATGGTTAAGGATGTGGATAGGTTATGGTTGTGTGATAGGGGAGAGGATTATTTGGAAGTGGGAATAGATTGAGGAGTTTGTAAGATTTCTGGAACCATCCTTCGAGTTTAATGTACCATTCAGCACACCCAAGAACTACACAAGCATATCCTTGGGAGTTATAACAACAACGTTAGGTTTATTTAAAATCGTTGGGTAGATCAACGAAGTTCTCCCGGTCGTAAAGACATTCATAGATTAGAATGGATAATTGTCCCATCTAATAATTACAATATATCGAATTAAATTAGTCTATGCATTTTTACATTTGTAGTTTATTCTTTGTTTAGTTTATTTATATTAAATAATTATTTTTAGCTTCATGTATCTGCACTCAGTGCTAAAAAACCCGTATATTTGGAAAATGATATTGCTGCTCGTCAAGAATATGTCGAAATTATCGATAGTGATGAAGATATTTCTGATGATGAATCCAAACAGGATGGAAGTATGTAGACACAAATTATTGTTTTAAATATAATTTTTTTAACATATGAAATTATAGATGACGAATGTATGCCTCAAAACGTAATTGACACAGTTGAAAATGAACTTTGCAATATAATTAAAAAGACTCTAAATGGGTTTGAAATACAAAATCAACTCACTTGGACCAGAAGTATTTTGGAAGCGCGATTTAAGCGTATTGCAGATGAATCCAAACTCATTGGCGCAGAATTACGCGAATTACAAGATAAAACTAATAATATGTATCGTTCACTTTACAGTACACCGAAAGTGAAGTTGCGTGAAATGCCACCAATACACTTAAATACGGAGGGAGAATATGTAAACGCTGAAATGGAGGTAGGAATCTCAATAATTTGGTTTTTATGTCATTTAATTTTTTGATTAACTTCATTTTTTAATTAGATTCCTGTTGGAGAATTGGTACGACATCCCGTACAAATCAATGGTACTTATTATGCTGTGAAGAATAAAGCAATTGCAAGTTGGGTGCCATGTAAAATAATTGAGCAAGTTGATGGCAATGTTGGTTCACAGAAAAATCTAAAACATTTTAAAATAAAATTCTTAAAGTCACAATATCAAATGCTTAAGACCGTGTCCGCAAAACATTTAGCATATTTTGATCCTCCAAAAGTGCGTTTAGATATTGGTAAGCACAGCTATACGTTAGTAGTAATGCCTTCAACAAACTTATTTATATTTTTCTATTAGGTGAACGCGTTATAGCTTATTTTAACGCCTCATCTTTGTCACGTGGGAAAGATAAGATGTCCATACAAAGTGCTTTTTATCCTGGTATAATAGCTGAACCACTAAAACCAAGCAATAAATATCGGTAAGCATAAAAATATCGGTTAGATATGATAAAATATATTAATATGTTAATAATATTAATATTAATAATATTAATATGTTATAGTATGTTTCATCTAATAATTATATTTTTTTGTTCTCATTTAGATATCTAATTTTCTATGATGATGGTTATACCCAATACGTACAACATAAAGATGTGCGTTTGGTTTGTCACACATCGGAAAATGTTTGGGAGGATGTACATCCAGCTTCTCGTGAATTTATACAGAAATATTTAACCCAGTACTCTATAAATCGTCCAATGGTGCAAACCCACAAAGGACAGAATATGAACACAGAATCGAATGGCAAATGGATATATGCACGTGTTATGGATATTGATTGCAGTTTGGTTTTAATGCAGTTTGAAGGCGCTAAAAGTCACACAGAATGGATATATCGGGGTTCCTTACGTTTAGGTCCAGTTTTCAAGGAATATCAAAAATCGTTAGAACAAACAACATCTCCCAAATCTCGCTTACCAAGAGTAAATATAATATAATTAATAAAATCTATTACTGTGTATATAATTTATAATATATTTAAAAAATTTCAGCGCACAGAACCATTTATACGTTATACAGAAGATGAGGAAGCTACGACAAGAATCTCGGAGACCCGTGCTGTAGCTAAGAAGAGTGTAAGTCGTCAAGATTCATACACACAACAAAGTACATCACAAGCACAAAACAACAAAGTACCGCAAGTACGCCACTTAAACAATTCAACAATTTATCTTGAAGATGAGAGTAAACCGAAAGGAAAGGTGAGCCTTTGTAAATTATGGATTATTATACAGATTTTAATAATAATTTTTAATTGTTTGTAAAAGGTTGTATATTACACAGCAAAGCGAAACTTGCCGCCTAAAAAGTTCGTAAAGCACAATTGTTCTCCTTCTTGCTTGTACAGGGTACAGCACAATCTCAGCGCATATAGTCCATTATCAAAACCACTACTCTCCGGTTGGGAGCGTTTGATATTTAGACAAAAATCTAAGAAACTTATTGTGTATCGCGCGCCATGTGGGCGATCTCTACGAAATATGGCCGATTTACATAAATATTTGCGTATCACACGGAACGTTTTGAACGTGGATAATTTTGATTTTAGTGCAGAAACGAATTGTTTAGCTGAATATGTTATTGATAGTGCGATTGTGCAGAAACGTGACATATCTAATGGTTTGGAGAAAATGGCTATTCCTTTGGTTAACTACTATGACGGTACACTGCCGCCGGAATGCGAATATGCTGCCGAACGCATACCAACTGAAGGTGTTAATTTAAATCTTGATGAGGAATTTTTAGTTGGTTGCGATTGTGAAGATGATTGTTCGGTAGGTTATCAGCAGTATGTTTGTATAGATGTAATATTAATATAACTGATTTCCATTATTTAAGGATAAGAGCAAGTGCTCTTGCTGGCAGCTTACTATATCTGGAGCAACATATAAAAACCTAAATGCTAGTATAGATGAAATTGGTTATCAGTACAAACGGCTGTACGAACACGTCCCAACTGGCATTTATGAATGCAATTCTAGGTGTGTAAAGTTATATATAATAATAAATAATTAAATGCCTATAAACAATTTACTAAACATATTGAAATTTTTGTTTTTAGATGCAAGTGCAAGAGTAATTGCCTTAATCGTGTCGTACAACATTCTTTGCAAATGAAGCTACAAGTGTTTAAAACCTCAAATCGTGGTTGGGGTTTGCGTTGTTTAAATGATATACCGCGTGGTAGTTTTATTTGTATCTATGCTGGACATTTGTTGACCGAGTCTAAAGCTAATGAAGTAAGTTACACTAAATCATTACGAGTATATTAAAATTTATTATTAATAATTAATTATCCTTATTATAGGGTGGACTTGATGCCGGTGATGAATATTTTGCTGAATTGGATTATATAGAAGTAGCTGAACAACTAAAAGAAGGTTATGAATCAGATGTTGAACCACTTGAACCTGAAGATGAAGAGGAAGATGATGTATTTTCACATAATATCTGTTGATATGCTTTTATTTAATTGTTTAAATATTTTATTAGGATGCTTACATGCCGGAAGATGATGATGAATTTACTCCAAGTAAAGCATATCTCTATCGTTCAAAAGGCAAACCTAAAAGATCGACACGTTTCAGTCAGTCTGGAACCAATGAAAATGAATCTCAAGAACGACAGGTTATTAATTTTGATCCTAATGCTGATATGGAGGAAACTACTACTAGGCATTTGTAAGTGAACTCATTACTATTTGTAAAACTTTACTCTACTTTGCTACTTTACTTTACTCATTGATTTCAGATCAATGCGTAAATTGTTTGGTAGGAACGAGGCTTGCTATATTATGGATGCTAAAACTATTGGCAATCTTGGACGTTATTTTAATGTAAATTTATTTTATTACTTTAATTAAATTTAATTTAACATATTTTTTTATAAACTTTTACACAGCACTCTTGTTCACCAAATCTATATGTTCAGAACGTTTTTGTTGACACACATGATTTACGTTTTCCATGGGTGGCATTTTTCGCTTCAACTCATATACGCTCTGGTACTGAGTTAACTTGGAATTATAACTATGAAGTAGGTGTAGTCCCGGGAAAAGTGTTATACTGCCAGTGTGGCGCACCAAATTGCCGTCAGCGCCTACTATAAATGAAATAACAACTAGTGTTAATTATATTCTAAATTGTAATATAAATATGTAGCATAAAATTTATTTAAAATACATAATACAGATTTGAATTTAAATTTTAAGTAGTTTATAGTTACTGAAATAATGTGACAAGCGAAATTTGTAGCATAGTATTTTTAATTACATTTTTAACATTTGCAAATTATTATTTGTTTAATTATTATGTTATTTATTAAATTGCTTGAATAAACATGTAAAATAATTAAAATAAATCAAAAGTTTTATATATGTATATTATTTTATTTATTTTATTTTATTTTATTTATTATATTTTATTTTATTTATTATATTTTATTTTATTTATTATATTTTGTTTTTTTAATTATATTTTATTTATTATATTTTATTGTATTTATTATATTTTATTTTATCTATTATATTTTATTTCATTTATTATACTTTATTTTTTTTATTATATTTGATTTATTTTATTTCGTTTGTTATATTTTATTTTATTTATTATATTTTATTAGGTTTATTTTATTTAAAATAAAATATTGGTGGATAGGACATGCATTTCTTAAATCCTGCGATGAGATCACGCACACCGCACTAGCCGATCTAGCAGATCTAACATGAGTTGTAGAAAAGCAGTATATCACGAAACTGGCAAATCGTTTTACGAATTAAGACAAATAGCACAAAATAGAAACTGTTGAAAACTTTTGTTGAGTCCTTAAGCATAGAATAATAATAATTTTATTTATCATATTTTCCTGTCCAGTCGTTATATTGTAAAATCTTTGAATCAAAATAGTTTTAAGAATACCACAAGATATCCATAACCCTATCACGCTCGATTTAAAATTAAAAGGATTTGAACATTTTTAAGTTCCTTAACTTAGCCTTTCCTTAGATTGTATCGGTCAAGTCGAATTAAACATTTGAATGCAAGAACTCAAAACCATGGAATAAGATCTAAGTTTTTTATAGATTAAAGGCAGAATTAGTTGTCGTAGACGTAGCAAACGATAAAAAAAATAAGTTAGAACGGGTCAGCTGATTTCATACAGCACAACTAATTCATTCCAAAAATATGTATATCCATATGCGTGCGGAAGAGCATTTAGCGTGTAAGCGACTTAGCAGCTGACACATACACACACTCCATTTCCTTGCCCCTGCCTCGCATTCCTTTTAATAAACGCGACCGGTATGATCCCTAGAGTAAAGTTTACTATTAACTCAGATTACCCTCTCATCTATAAACACTTCCTTTAAAAATCACTTCGACCATGCTTTCCTGACTTCGATAAATTAAGCTTGCTGAATACTAAGCCTATCTGCTCTTCTTTCCGTACTTTATTACTGGAAAGGGGTTTCAGCAGCTCACAGCAGTTGAAAACTTCGATATTTTCATTTATAATAGCTGGAATTAGTCGACTCAAGTCTCACACTGTGGCTTTTCACGAAAAATAAACACATCTGTTGAGACAAAAATGTAAATAGTAATTTGTAATATAATTAACAGCTAAACGCCTAAAGCATGGTATAGACGATGCTACATGTATGCACACCAAGTATGTAGACCAGGTATGTGCAACATTTACGAATCTTAATGAAAATTTTTTATTTTTTATTTAAAAAGTGATGTTGAAAATTAAAAAACAGAAATATTCAATTAAACAAGCAAGCCAATAAAAAGTTAAAGTTTTTCCCAAAAAAATTAATTTTTTTTCGTATCTCCAGGCAAGTGTTTTAATTCTTACTATTCCTGGTAACAACTGTACCTACCCTGAAATAATAATTATTTGAATTCAAATTTTGCATTAAGAATCGAAATATGGACGAAAAAGTCGAGGCCGATTTTGCAAGGGTAATGCAATGCCTAACTGAGGCACAGAAATTGGCGAGTAGTCTAGGAACGGAAGGTTGTACAAATTTTTAAAATATTATAAAATTTAGCTATAAAAAAGTTTTACAGAGCAAAAAGATCCAAGACAATATCTTGAGATGTGCGAGGAACTTTGCAACATTCGCCAAAGTTATAAAGCAAAAAAGAAAATTTATGAAGCAGCTGGGAAAGAAGAAACACTTGAAGGCTATGACCAAGCACTCGAAAGAGGCTTAAACTCTTTACCCAAAAAATTTAATGCAAAAAACACTATAGAATACAAAGCATTTTCTGCTAGTATGACTCTTGATGAAGAAGAAGTTGATAAACGTGGTGAAATGGTTGTTAAGATGGGACTAAACAAGTTTGACCCTTTAAGCAAAAAGAAAATGGTCGATCCAGTAAAGTCTACCGTTTGCGGGCACCATTATGAAAAAGAAACCATTATTGCTTATATTAAACAATTAAAGAAAGACAAAAGAAGGTAAGTGATGTCTAACAATAATTCAATGCCAACAATAGTACATAAATAGTAAATAATTGTATTCTTTTTCAGTTGCGTATGCCCAGTTTCCGGTTGCATGAATAATAAAATGCAATTAAAGGAATTACAAGATGATCCAGTTTTTAAAGAGCAAATAGAAAGTGACGAGGAGGAAGATTGAGTATAACTACATATTTCAGAGCAGCGTGTTACTTTATACGTAACGTTTAATTCATTCCAATTTCTTATATATAAGCTCTCATCAAGATTATGAAAATATTTTTTTATAATAAATAAAGATGTATAATAATTTGCCTGAATTATGTGTATAGAGATACGTTCGACGAACCATATGGTAGTCCATACATAAATATTTTTCTTGCTTTGATGTGCCTTGGTTCTACGATTTGTAAGAAATGTTTTAATATTGAAGTTTAACTGTATTTAAAATGTTAAGATATTTACAATAATTTATTTCAAATATCATTGCACATAATGATGTTTTTTTTTCATATTCATTTTCTTTTTTTTTTTATTTATTTCAACTTGGCATTCATGCTATTTCTGTGAAACTGATTCGAAAAAACAGTATTTCATTTCATTTATAAATTAAGTTTTATTGATGTAAGTAATATAAATTCAAATTTATTAAATAAACTATTTTAAAAACTACACAGTATGGTTTTAGAAATCCAGGGATCGTAACAGTTATCATGTGAAAATAAAACTCAAAAAATAATAATTAAATCTGCTTTATCAAAATTAATTATTATCTTGTGCCTTTTATTTTTTCAAGCAGAAATAACTCTTACAACTGTTTTTTTTTGCATTTATATAAAAATCAAGAATAACTCTTATTTTTGAAAATAAAATATAATTCACACTGGCTTGATATTTTTAAAAGCGAAAATATAAAATGCATTTCGCATATAAGGTAGTTGTTTTTGTAATTTCATACAATATGTATTTAAGGTTTGGTGCACGTAGAATTACTTTTGGTTTTTGTATTGTTTTGTGTACAAAACTCTAAACTAAATATTTACCTGCACCAATTCTATAATACATTTGTTAAGAAATAACAAAAACAACTACCTTATATGAGTAATGAAAATTATATTTTCGTTTTTAAAAACTTCAGGAAGGCCAGGATGAGCACTATTTTATTTCCTAAAATAACTGTTATTTATTTTTTATATCTTCAACTTAAAATAAATCATTACATATAAAAATAAATCTTTTATCAATCAGCTTGAGAAATGTTTTGTGCTGCACTGATCAGTGTATCGTGTATAGCCTTTGCTGATTCCACATGCGCACGCACTGTATTTAAGTATGTAGAATATGACATAGGAACAGCGGGATTATCTGGCATATACGGAGCAGCAGCTACATTTCCAGGCAAATAATTTTGCGCAGATGAAAGTTGCTGCATGCATAGCAATGCAGTCTTCAGGTTCAATTCAATTTGATCACAATATACAAAGAAATCTTCTAAATGTTTATCGAATCTCGGTGGATGTGGAGCAGCGTCTCGTTTTAGATTATCTGACAAATTGTTTTGCTGTAAGGCAAATGCTGCAGCGCGTAAAGTTAAAAATAACGATTCACGTAGCGGACCAAGTAAACTTTTAACTTTCGAGATGTTATCAGTTTTTTCTGCCTGTTGTTGTTGTTGTTGCTGTGCCTGTTGAACTGGGTTTGGCACCTGTGGCGACTGTTGCTGCATAGCTGGCGAAACCACTTGCATCATTGCATTTGGGCCAGGTCCTACACCCATTTGTTGTTGTTGCATTGTATGCATATTCATGATTGCTAGAATTTGTAATAAACTACTTTTATATCAATTAAATTTCTCTCAATGTTAATTTATTGTATTTCGACAAAAATTGTACTACTTTTTGCACAAATTCCAAATGTCATTTTTGACGTTTGCTGAGCATTGAGAAACAGAGAGAATGAAACAAGAAAATATTATTTTGAAACTTTTGTACAGTGATATAAATAAATAATTTGTGAATGAAAACTTATTTAATTTCCGTGCGCGAGTTTGAGTAAATTGATGGTAAATGAAGGGAAATAGTAAAATATATCGATATGGCAGCGAATGTTGATAGAGTAAATTAAATAAAAATTAAGTAAATTAGGTATTACCATTATGAAAATTTTATAAGATGTTTAAAAAAAAATAAAAAAATTTGTGTAGTCCAAAAAATTTGAATTTACTTTGAATTTACTTAAGAAGTAAAAATTTGTTAGTAAATAAGTTAAAAATATTAAACTGTTTTTTTATACTTTCTTTAAGTACTCCTAAAACTTTTGGTATATATTTATACATATATTTATATTTAAAATATTTTTTCCACAATTTTGCATATTTTTAAAATATTTTATTTCTAAAATTTTTAAATTTGTGAAAGTTTTTAATTTTGCTCGAATTTTTGTTAACAAACTTTTGACATATGACTGGAATTATCGTTGAAATTTACAATAAGTTCACAATAATTCGCTTATTGCATTGGTAATATTTTTTTGTCACATTTAAAAGCTGTTGAAAGCACCTAAATATTTTATATCTAATAGTGATTTACGCTTCACAATTAATGGACTTCATTTAAAATATGTTTACTCTCATCTTGATGATGATATACTATGTTTTGCGTTACAATAATAATGCAACATATTTCTAGTGAACATTCACAATAGACTGATTTTTAAGTTTGGCTCCATTAAAACTTAAGGTTGCGGTTACATTGCATGCGAATTTTGTCTTGCGAGTTCGTACGAATAAATCAAATGTATGTAATTATTTGTTAGTGGTCACAGCTGCTGAAAATTATTCGCTGCTGAAAATTATGTAAGTAAAACCTAACTCTAAAGATTTTAAGAGCATTGCTGTTGCTTTGAATGTTTTCTTTCGTTACATATAAACATATGTACGAACACGCAAGATAAAATTCGCATGCAATGTAACCGCAGCCTAAGACGTACAAATTTTTGCAAGTAAAACCTAACTCTAAGGATTTTTGGAGCATTGCTGTTGCTTCGAATGTTTTCTTTCGTTACACTGAAAGAAAAAATTATGGCAATATATATATTTCTAATACCTTTCACTCATTTGTAACGAGGATGGAGTATTGTATTCTTTAATAATTTTCAAAACATTATGAAATTCAAAACATCAGGACATTGTACTGCGAATAGCAAAATCAGTTGTTAACTTTTTACGCCGATCCACTAAGTTGTCATTCGTTTCGTGACTGCTTGTAATAAGAAAGGTGAATTTGTGTAAATAGAATTGCACGAAATTGCAAATTTCATATTTTGTAAAAGTGTTTATTTATTATAGACATCTTAAAGGTAACTGGGTTGTGTTCATTTGTTATTCAAGATATGTTCAATATTAAAAATTATGAGTACGATTGCACTATAAAATGCAATTGCCGTCAACACGCAAATGCAATAACTGCCGCATTGACCAAGCGTTCAATTAGCAATGAAAAATTAGCTGCATTTATAGCTAAAACTTGCCGAAATTTTGCCGACAATGTTGATGATCTCGTATGTATTCCTATAATGAAATTTATTGCCTCATTGTAACGTTTACACTTTAGGGACGGTCGGCGGTGCATATAGCAGCGTCCGTTGACCGGTATGAAGTATTGGAGTGGCTACTAAACCAGGTATGTTTTTAAATCAAATTGAAAAATCATAATTATATTGTGTATTATAATAACAACAATTGTAGGGTGCAATTATAAATGGACGAGATTTTGAGTCAGGTAATAGTGCCTTACATCGTGCCATTTATTACGGTTGCGTCGATTGTGCAGTGCTATTAATACGTTATGGAGCTAGTTTAGAGTTATTAGATGAAGACACCTGCACACCTCTGCATAATGTTTGCCGCTTAGCTGATTATTCAGGGGAACATGACTTGTTAGTAGCTTGTTTATAAAAATATTTTTTAATATATAAAATATTACAATTTTAATTAATTATATATTATTTATTATTAGCTCGCCACGAAATGAAGTGCTGGTTTGGGGCTCAAACAGAAACTATAATTTAGGAACGGGTAATGAAGAAGGCTGTAGTACACCACAGACAATAGAATTTTTTCGAAAACAACAGACATCACTTAAATTAATTGCCTTAAGTGCTTATCACACACTTTTTTTGGATCATCAGCATCATTTGTATGCAGTTGGACACGGAAAAGGTGGCAGGTTAGGGACGAAAACTGAAAATAGTTTACCTACGCCGAAAAAACTTAAATTGCCATTTGAAAATAATGCACATATAATATGTATGAGTGTTTCGCGTCAACATTCTTTATTGCTTACAAATAAATCTACAGTTTTTGCTACTGGAATAAATGATAATAAGCAATTGGGTGTAAGCACAGCTGGTGATAAATTGATGGTTTTCAAAGAAGTTGCTACGTTAAGAGACTTGATTTGTATGCCATTGCAAGCTGTTATTGCAAAAGATGAACATTCTATTGCGTATTCAGAGAAACAAGTTTTTATTTGGGGAGCAAATTGTGGTCAATTTGGCATGGATGCCAAAGTAAAAGTTGTTACAAGTCCGAAATTGGTAATATAAAACTATTTTTTTTTATATAATTCGTACATATAATTTTCTTCAATCCATTTTGCAGATGAAGATTCCAGTGGATATTAAAATAATTTCTGTTGTTGGTAACAACTGTGCAACTGTGATATTAACTGATTCTAATGCAATTTTATTGTATTACAATTACAAAATGAAATCAATCAAAACGCCTAAGTATGATATATATTTTTATATATTTATTTTAAAATGTCTTATACATTTACAAATTTTTTGTATGCTTAAAATTTTGAAATTATTATCTGTGTATGATAAGTGATATTGTTATCTAAAAGTTACAAGTTAATTTTATATTTTGATAAAATTAGTTTTATTAATTATCAATTTATATATTTTGCAGATGTAATAGATAATAACTAACATATAGTATCAATTTTTATGGTAATAAGGGTTTTGTTCCTAAGCAGTTCTTCTATTGGTCGCGTGATTACACTATTACTTATGGCAATACATAATTTACTTGATCGTTTTATGTTAAATAACTTACTTTCAATCACATTAGAATTAATCATAAATAGTCTAAGCTGCGATAATAACTAATACGATAGTAGATAATAACTAATATATATTATCAATTTGTATGCTAATAAGGGTTTTGTCCCTATTGCATTACTATACATCCTTTCATTTAATGTTTAAATTAGTTCTTATTCTTATAGAAAAATTACTCAATTTTATTGTATTAAGTATATTTGTATCGGTTTGTTTTCAGTTTTCGTTTGATATATATATATTTTAAATCGTGTCGAAGAAATCCAATTTTAAATGTTTTAATAATAAAATTTTATTTTACAGCTACGAGTCTATAAAAAGCATTTGCGTTATTGGAGGAGATATTACTAAAACCAGTAAAGGATCTGCAAGTGGTCTTAAACTTTTGGTATTAACCGAAACAAATGTTGTGTTCATTTGGTATGAAATTACACAAAATTTTTACAGGTATGTATACGCAGAATACATAACTTGTATTATTAATTTAATCTTTTTAAAAATACTACATATAATTGCACTGTGTCAACATTTTTTATTGATTCCTGCCGTGTTCATTTACTGATTTAAATTGATTTACAGAGTACAGAGCGATGACCTACATATGTACTTCTAACATACAAGACGGTTAAAGTCTGTGAGATAATGTTAGGCTTATATCATAGTCGACAATAAATCTACGTGTAGATAATCTGCCACATAGTTACTGTTGTACGAGGAAGAGTCACCACAAAAACTTTTCACCACACTAGCCAGATTTATCTATATCTATATGCTAGCATAGTTGAGGTTCTAAAGATAATATCTGTTTTCATACCATAGTAAACTTTAAGCTGACATGGAGCTGGTTTGAGTTGGTATGTGTAGGCTTATATCAATTTCCATACCATAGTAGATTATAAAATTATATTAAGCTCATCTCGAGCATATTTACTGTTGTACGAAGAAGAGGCACCAGAAAACCTATTTTTCTATTGCTAAGGTTTATCTAGATATACATTCAAGTATATATACGCACTATTTATGAAATCAGTCCACAGCATGTCCACTGTATAATGTATGGAATATTTGCGTTTATCAATGCTTCCGCTTGCTAAGAATTTCAGGAATTTAAAAACGATAATGATTACTACTAAATGAGGTTCGACTTCCTTCCACTTTCTTTTTCTACCTTTCTTAGTTTTCTAACACTTGCACTTATTTATAGTCCTTTTTGTGTTTGAATACATACTATTTTCTATGGAAAATATATATATATATATAAAGATTGCAAGAATCTTGTGATATAAATCACTACTATTATTGGTGTTATACTTTTTATTGGAAACGAAATTAGTACTTAACAATTTTCTTTTTGTTGCGATCATTTATGAAAGGGATGAGTGTAAACAAAAGTGGATTTGGGTTGCATACAAATGGTGGCAATGGATGGTATCAGTGAATATTATCACTGATATTATTAGTATTTTTTATTATTATTAGTATACTAATATTATTAGTATTTTATCAGTGAATAGAATCCCCTCGATACTGTTAAATTTATCGATAAAAGTGACCCATTATTTCCACTAATACTATTTCATACTATATTCAATAGTATGGTCTTATTGGCAGTTTTCACTTTATTTAATGATTAGTTTAAAAATATATAACTTTTTTTGTTAGGTAAAACTATAATCCTATCAGTTTTTTGACTTTTGATAAAACTTGGACATGGGATTTCTGCAGGACGTTTGAATTCAATTTTATAGCATTAAGGAAATCCTATCTTCAGATATTATTTGAATCTCCACAATTTATTTTTTAGATTCTTAATCGTCGCCACTGAAAATTAATTTAATAAAAATTTGTTTATTTGTCAAAAATGCAATTACTTTCTACATTTTTGTAATATTTGCAGATGCCTTTTCACACCATTAAAAATTACAGAAATCGATAAGATATTCTACAAGGGAAATCAAATATTATTACTATCTAAAGGTGATATCTACAAAGGAAAATGTAATCAGATACCAATACCACAAAATAAACTCAATGGAAAATATACGTATTCCTCGAATGAATGGAGCCCATGTTATCGTACAGAAGTATCAACAGATCATATGATTCGTATTGATGTGGAGCGTATACCACATATCGATCGTGCGACAGATATTTTTTGTGATGATGACTTCACTTCATTTGCCGTCCTCCAAGAGTCTCATCTTAAATATTTTAAATCACCTGCTTTGCTAGCAGAAAAATACACTTTTAAAAAATTGTTTCACGATGCCAATGAATTTGATGCTGTACATGATGTAGTGCTACATGTCGATGATGAAATATATGCAGCACATAAGTTGATACTCTATGCACGCTCCCCTGGTTTACGCGAATGTATTACTGCGCATACTGAAAAACATGTTTATCTGAAATTTGATGGTTTTACCGGTAAAATGCTGGAAATAATTTTGAAACATATTTATACAAACTATTATCCAAATAGTGAAGGTGTGTTTGTCAGTCACATATATAAAAAATATAAATAGATAAATTGTTATATTAATTGCAGATTTTGACAATATACAGAAAAGCTTGGGTCCCGATAGTCCCAATGAAAGCAGATTAGTTTGTAAATTATTTATGTTGTATGCTGAGAAATTTCAATTGAACGATTTGTGCAATTATTTAAAGAGGTATTATTCAAAACTATATGATATTTTATATACTCTGTAATTAATTTGCATTTTTTTCGAAACTAGTTTGGAGGAAGCGCCATCAAATTCTTTTGATTTAGTTCCCAAAGGGCGCTTTAAACGCTTGCAACGTTCTGATTTCCCAGAACTTTACGATGTACGTATCATTTGCGGTGATAATGCAGAATTATCCGCACACAAATGCATTTTGGTAGCACGTTTGGAATATTTCGAAATGATGTTCGCACATACATGGTCCGAACAAAAGGTGATACATTTAGAGACTGTACCTGTGGCCTACATGGAACCAATATTAGATTTTCTGTATAATTGTGATGTGGAACTATTTCGCAAGCAAAATTATAATGAAAGTTTTCTTTATAATATGATTGTATTCTGTGATCAATTTTTTGTAGAACGACTACGTAAAATCTGTGAAATTATGATTCTAGATAAAATAACAATACGTAAATGTGGCGAAATGTTAGATTTTGCACACACCTATAACTGTGAAGCACTTAAGCTTGGTTGTTTGAATTTTATATGTCAGAACCTAGCGCGTGTTTTAGTACAAAAAAGTCTGGATAATTGCGATCCTGACGCATTAAATTGTATTAATTCTCATTACCGTTCAATATTCAAAAGAGCTTTTGATTATCGCATCATTACTCCATGCTCTGAAGCTGTAGATGATGATTTGCTATATAGTTTTGTAGATGATTTTCGAGTGGATCTTGACTATCGAATGGATGAAGAACAGGTTCGTATAATAAATGATTTACATTATATCTATTTTAAATACTTATATATATTTCTATTAAAGGATGCATTGAATAAAGGTGCAATAAAACAAAAATTAAGTGAAAATAAATATAAGCAATCAACAAGGCAGCATGAACGTGATGCTATTGCTTCAATGATGAAATCTTTGAATGTAGATGATAAAACAAAACAATCACAGGAAGAAAATAGTAGATATGTGGAGGAAATTCAGAAAACTGACGAAAAGATACATGAGGAATATAAATCTTGGATGAAAGTTGCAGATAAAAAGGAGCAGAAGAAAAAGGTGTCTGTGCCTACTAAATCAGACGATAAAGCTTTCGTCAGTGAGAAAGAAAAGTTTTCTCTAATACCACTTATTAAAACGACCCCTAATCCAACTCCTCCTAAAAGAAATACAGTAACACCAGAGAAGATAACCTTGCCACAAGAAAACAGCACTCCCAGTAAAACCTTTAATTTAAGTTTAGCTGATTTTACACCGACACGTGATAAATTATCACAAAAGCAGAGAAAACGCTTGTCATCTGAATCATCAAATTGGCGCAACAACTCAATATCAGAACAACCATTGCCAGCAGTAACACCGCCAAGTCCACCACAGCAAAATGCTTGGAATCTTAATGTACAATCACCTACTTCGTCTTCAGCTACATATGATGCCGCTGTTGAAATTGGTTGCGCTAATGATCCTAATTCATTTGCAAATAGAATGCGATTGGGTAACTCAAAGCAAAGCGACACTGCTTCCAGTTCCGCTGCTAGTGTCAATAGTTTTGCTCGAATATTAGCTGAGGAACGCAAGCAGCGAGAATATTATGAACGAATGCGTTCCAAGTCTTTAATACTGACTCAAATAGAGGAGACTGCAATAACGGAATTAAGAGCATTTTACAATGTCGACAATGTGACCGATGAAGTGATAACAATTGAACGGAAACCAATGCCAAGTACCATTAATTTTGCCCAATGGCAAAATAAAAAATGAAATGTGAATACCATAGAGTATGGTATTATTTAATAATTAAACAATTTAATTGTTTATTAATTTTTTTTTTGATATATTATATTTCATCAAGACGAAGTAATAGTGCGCTGTGCTATGTTTGATTTTATTGCAAATGTTTTTATTTTTATATTCGTTTTAATTTTTGAATATTTAATTTTATTTATAAAAAAGTATAAATATTTTTTTTATACAGTTTGAAAAGTACATAACAAATTAAATAATTAAAAATATCGGTAATAATATCAATAAATACAACAACAATATTAAAAATAATTAAATTCAACAAATTTAAATTAAAACATAAACTACACTAAACATATCCCGAAACCTTTTAAAACTACGCCAAGCATCTAGTCTCAATAAATAAAAAGAAGAAAATAGTTGCTTTAAATTCAAATAAATTTCTTTCGGAATTTAAAAACATTCTTTTCGGAATGCAAATCCATATTCATCGCATTTAAAACGTAAAGTTTTCGCCAGTTGAGGTGGTCCACAATAGAAAACAGTGACTTTGCCTTTCTTTTGCGCTTGCAGCTGCTTGAAGACTTTATCCCAATTAGGGCGACCAGCATTTGTTCGTGTTTTGAGTCCTGTTATAAGATCGCGTTTTCCCTGTAAGTACATTTTATAGATTTTTTATTAGATATTAATAGTAAAATAGTAGTATAGATAGATAAAAAGATAGTAGATACATAGATAATAGACAAATATTAAATATTATAGTGACGTCTTTATTTTTTTTTGTAAGTAGTTGGTATATGGGTGTGACAAGTAGATCCTGTGATGAAGTTCATTCAATTATTCTGTAATATTTTCTAATTTTTTTTGTATATTATATTTGCAATTTTTAAAAAAGGTAGTATTTACTTTCAACAATAACAGTAAGGATTTATTATTATTAATAAATGTGCTTTATTATTTTAAAGACCAACATTTTTATTAATAATTTTGTTTTTGAAACCGACAAATTGATGAATCTTACAGTTTATCCTATCTTTAGTCTTTATCTTTAATTGACCCTGAAAATGACTATAGATTATGTTTGAAATATTGGTGTAAATAAAAAACATTTTAAAATCTAATTTTTTAAAAAAAAATGTATTATTTAACAATTGATCAATTAGCCCATTTCAAAAACAAAATTATTAATAAATCTACAAACAAGGGTGTTGAAGTTTTCAAAAAACCATTTACAATAATTAAGTGTAGCTGTGGTTTATGCGTTCCAGCTGATAAAGAACGCAGCGAATACAAGTTTGATCAATGCAAATTAAGTGTACGTTGGCTTTATGTCCACGGTTGAAATTTAACAGGGCTTAATTCTTGATAATTTAATTTCAAAAATTATAAATCGAAAATAAAACCAATAGATTTTTCAAAATACCATTGATAATGAATATTTAAGGATATTCAAAACACTATATGGTCAGCTCAACGATTCACTTGAATAAAAATTTTTAATTTTCTCACAATTATTTTGTCATAGGACATATAATTCTTAATTATTATTAAATATTATTATAAAAAAAAACATTCAGAAGTTTTTTCTCACGAAATTAGCTGTTATGTTTAAGTTGTAATCTTGTAACCAAAGCCCACTTGAGTTCAAACAATGGCTCGTTGTAATGCCTCGTAGGCAAATGATCAGATATCCAGTAAATTTAAACCGCAATTGGAATTATGGTATATAAAACGGTGAAGGCAGGCATGTATAGCTAGCTTTTACTTCTGTAAAACGATTAGGATGATTAGAGAGAAATTGGGAACTTCATTCTAAAATTGTTTTGTGAATGTGTATTGTGGTTTTATGTTCCATACTTTGCTATGGCTCATGGATCAGATTCAAAAGCAATATATTGTAATATTAATAAGTTCGGCAAATGCTAAGAATATCGTGTGTAGGTTCTACTGTGGTAATTGCGTGGCTCTCAACATTTTTATCCTCATGATATCAATAGAATTATGAGGATTCGTATTAAAAGCAATTAATTGATGTCTGTATCCAGACTACAAGATAACTGCAGATTGCAAGTCGAACTTAAGGGTTATAGTTCCATTGTGTCTACTCACTCAGTTAACCTCTTGGTTCAATGTTCTATAATTAATGCTTTTTTAAGTGTATCGCAATTTCATCTGAGTCTTTCAGGTCCTAAAAACCGGTTTCTAGTAGTAACTATTTTCTGGTAATTTTTTCCACAAATATATTTTTAAGGGATTTAATATTTGGAAGAATATAAACATTTGTTTATTTAACAGCATAGATGTCATATGTTTTTTTAATGATAATTTATATCTTAAATCTCTCAAGAACATCAGTCAGATATCGTGGGTTGCTGTGAAAATTTGTTGTGTTTTGTGTCCAAACCATTCGAGGTAGATTTTATCTTAATTAAATTAATGGACGGTTTTTATAATTAAACTAATCATCCATTTTATTAACTTAAGTAAAAAAAATGTTTCATCACAGTTGAACTAGTAGGATTATTATATATTGCATATATACAATATATATATTTCACATTTACTATATTCACTATATTCATAAGAAGTAACTCTATAAATATGCTATAATTTCAAACTCACCTTTTCGTGAAGTAAATCCAAAGCTAGTTGCAAGCCCACAGCCTTCATATCCGTTCGTTGTAGTGCGCTTGTTATATACATATGCATATCGAGAAATCTATAATAAGAATTTCACATTAAATAAAAATTGAATGTATTATATATAATATATGTAATACCTTTCCATGGCGTGTCCTAGTTCAGCTTGTTCAATTTCTAACTGTGAAAGTAAATTAACAAACCATTCAAATGATCGCTGATTACGATTAATCCAAAAGAAATCTACTTTTCTAAGGTTCATCACAGTTTTGGGTATATCACTGGCCCATTCATGGTTGCAACGTGGGCATGTATGTCTTGCTTTCCAATAACGATGCATTATGGATTGCAAAATTGATGCAAACGGCGTGACACCAATACCTGTAGCGATAAGTACAGCATGTTGTGCACCAAATATATGACTTGATGGTGCTCCATAAGGTCCATCAATGAATATCTTAATAATTTTAGGGATAGACAATTTTAAAGAGAAAAGTTTATTTATTTTTCAAACTTATGTTTATAAAATAAAACAGAAAATATATTAAAGCAAATATAATGAAGTTTAAACCCAAACCTCTAAAACGCCTGCATCTAGTGTAACCTTCCCAGAGTTAGTGGAACCATGTGTGGGTAAGCTGCCATTACAGCCACGATTCTTTATAGATGTTGACAGTGTACGCAAAAAAGTAGGTCTACGCAAACGTCGGGTTTTAGTAGTCGCAGAGTAAGAATCCTATTTTATTTAATAATTTATTTTGTGGGTGTGTTTGTATATTGGACCAAATTTAAACCCATTTTATGATGCCAAATGTAGTAAGGATGCGTGTAGTAAGAGAGATATCGAAATTTAATTATGAAAATTTTATTTACAAGTTTTACTTTGTGGATTTTATTGTTATATGTTGAAGCAGAAAAGCAATGATATATTTTATAAAAGATTTATAGAGTTTTAACTTTGTGCTTACCTCCAGAGGTTTCGCAGCTTGATAATCTGTACTCTTCGCTACTTCTAAATCAGTGGTTTGTTGTGAATATGAAGTGTTTGCTTGATATAATAAAAAAATTAGTTTTGTAACAAGTAAATAAACTTATGTAAATACCTGCTTGTACTTTTCCTTCCTCAGCAGCCATTATGGAGTGTGGAACTGGATCTAAGACATTGAAAATATATATTTAACACAGAAATAATTTTATAACTATGATACTTTTATATATACGCTTATTACTATTGCATATTAGTACTATATTGTAATAACAGTTTTGATCAAAATACTACTAGATACTATTAAAAGATTTAGTTGACCTTTTCAATCACCTCTAGAAACCAATCGGTTTCCACTTCAAACCTTAACATTCTTAATAAGTCAATTGTATCCAGTTCTGCCAATTCTTCAAAGTAGCAATTTCGCAAGGAATTAACGCTTGTAAGGCTGAGAAACAGAGAGTAATGGAAAAAGTGCTCAATCGCTTTTTTTTTCATGCCCTCAACCTGATAGCTGCTGCATAAGTTTCTACTGACGGTACTTAAACTAATAACATGTATATGTTACCTGTCAAAGGTCCCAGGGGAACTGCGTTATGACGTCAGTAGATTGACACTGCTCCGTGTTAAACTTAGGAGCGTAATTGTTCTTTTGGGCATATTTTCGCCCTCAGTTGCCTTACTAAATGGCAGATTTGTTTACGATTTAAAGTGAGAACTGTAATATCTGTCTTAGATATTATTCTATATAATTTTTAATAAGTTGTTATGGTTCTAATACATTATTAATTATTTATTGGTTTGTTAGATATAAAGGATAAGTCCAAAGTACTTACTGCTTTCAGCCATTTTTGCTTGTGGATCACAGTTTTCCATGCTTGGAGTTTTGAAGGCAATTATTGTAGGTTTATTACGCATATAACGAAAACTTTGCGCTAAGGATTTATTTTGTGGACTGAGGTAGGCCAAACCTACACTTTGACAACGTGCACGTCTTAAACGTGTTTCATCAAATGATCGTTCAGATTCCGAACGCCCTAAGGCACGTATCCTAAATATTTTTAAAACAAAAAAAAAAATGTAATTATAAAAAGCCTTTAGTACCATAATACGTACGCTTTTAGACGTGCTCTTTTCTTAGACTTCACTTCAATATCGGGAAGGGATATACTTTTTTCTAATGGTGGTTTATAGTTAAGATTTTGTAGTTTCTTATCTGTTAAAATTCGTCGTCGACTAAGATCTATTGATTTTCCATAGGTATCATACTCATCTGCAATAAAAGCTTCATTCGAAACTCCTGTTGAACGCCTTGCCTGTGAATCCTTGCGAGAGAAAGTGCGTTGCAATGTGCGTTTAATACTTTGTATACGGTTAATGGGTGCGTTAGAGTTTCCATTACTGTGAGACGCATTAGTGTGACTCTCTGTGGCTAATTTCGATGGTGTAAAATTTTTTCTTGGTGGTCGTATGGGCACATCAACATATGCTGATGACTGTTGTATTTTTGCTAGATTTTGTGCAAGAAAATCAGTTTGTGGTGTTGAGGACATAATTGCATTGGTGTTAGTTTCATTTACTTGACAGAAACTTGTTGCAATTGCCTGCAAATGTGGTACATCTCCCCCTTGATGTAAACGATGTTGCTCTTTTTCAAAATACTGATACAAACGATTGGTCCATTCACCTGCGGTACGTATATGCAACCACATATAATCTTCTTGTTCAGGTGCAGAGCTTATAGTAAATGGATGCCATTCATAATTAGCAATAGCTGGTATATTCACAAACACATAATCACCAGGACGAAAATTAAAGTTGAAAGGTCTCTTAATGACCAAGTGTATAACTTTCGATGGCAATAATAGACCAGAACTTATGTACGTCTTGCCGTGTTCACCTCGCATCCATACATAGCGAAGTATACGTTCAACTATATACACAAGGCCAGGCACTAAAAACCACTTCCAAAAGTTTGGTCCATGAAATAGAGTTAAAATCCAAAACGGTATATAGAGAAGATGGGTCCAATAAAATATTTCAAATGAGCCCTTACGCCGCACGAACGGCTGGGAGCATATGAACATTATTAGCAAAATAACAAATAGAGCCACTCCAGTAGGGTTCGCGCAACCTGGTATTAGACCAAATAAACCCGGCCGATCTGTTAATAACCATTCGATTATTGTATAGTGCCCAGCATTTATTCTTTCATCATTTACTACAATTATTGTAAAATTAAATAAATGCATTAAAGTATGTATCAGGCTTAGAATCGAGATGACTATGCCTGTCAGTTTATGCAGATATATGTGATGATCTAGTGGCAGATATGTTGATAAACCGTGCGAACGTAGATAGGTAAGGGAATGTCGTAACATAAGTACGAGCACCCACGCACAGTTAAAGTTAAGACACTGACCTTTAGTTTGGAAAAGTAAACTTTAGTATGATTTTCTTGTTAAGTAATAAACCCGACTTACCGCAGGCTCTGGCTATAATGACAAATCCATTACTGGCTCGATATTGAATGGCACGTGAGATGAAGAGACATAAGTTGACTGCAATATATACGAAGAGGTACGAAACGAATACTTGGTTATTTTTCATATAAGCGGGTGTGAATTGATACGGTATCCAGAGGCAATCCTTTAATTTTTTTGATTTCGATTTTGATTTTTTTGCGGAGCTATCTTGAGAGATTGGTACAAGCCAACGATCGATTCTAAAATATTGTAAAAAAATATTAAAAATAATTTTATATAAAGTTTTTGTGAAAAGTTATATAAAATTTTCATATAACTTGTTTTTTTTATGTGTTGTAAGGCTTAATAAGTAATTAATTAAAGAGTAAGACAGGCAGCAAAGGCACTTAAGGCGCTGTTTATTGTTCATTTCTTATCTATGTATTTATTTATTTTATTTTTTATTTATAAACTCTTTTCTTTTTATGTAATTCTTATTTTGTTTCTATTGCATTAAATTTTATTTAATTATTTTTATTTTATTTTTATTTTATTTTTATTTTATTT